CTGGCACCGTGGCATCAGAGCCAGACAGAGGCTCCTGCGGTGAATGACTGGTTTCGGCACGCGGAGGAGACGTGGAACGCTGCCCACGTCCACCTCCAACGTGCCGTGCGTCGCCAGAAGGCCAACACTTCGTACCGGGTGATCGGGTCTGGCTCTCGACCCGGAATCTGCCCCTCCGCCTGCCCTGCCGGAAGCTGAGCCCGCGGTTTGTGGGGCCGTTCAAAGTCCTGAGGAGAATAAACGAGGTTACTTATAGGTTATTACTCCCTCCTTATAGGTTATTACTCCCCTCGTTCCATGTGTCTCTCCTCAGGCCGGTGGTGGCTGGTCCGCTCCAGGAGTCTGAGGTGCGGGAGGTCCCTCCACCCCCTCTGGACATCGAGGGTGCCCCGGCCTACTCCGTCCGTTCATTCCTGGATTCGAGGCGTCGGGTGGGGGGCCTTCAGTACCTTGTGGATTGGCAGGGGTACGGTCCAGAGGAGCGGTGCTGGGTCCTGGTGAGGGATATCCTCGATCCCTCCCTGTTGCGGGATTTCCACCGTCGCCATCTGGCTCGCCCTGCTCCGCGTCCTCCTGGTCGTCCTCGAGGCCGGTGGGGGGGGGGGGGGGGGTACTATCACGACTTCCTCCGAGGCTACCCCCTCGTCGTCACCGGCCTTCTAGCTACTGCCGCTCCTCATCTCATCTGCTTTGTCTTGTTTATTACACACACCTGGTTCATATCCCGTCATCAGTACCTGTATAAGTGTTCCCTCTGCCCCCTTGTCTTTGTGTGTGATTGTATATTGTGAGATTAGTGAAGGTCGGTGGAGCTCCTTGTATTTTGTATCACCGGGTTATTTTCCCCGTCTGCCTTCTTGGTTTCAGTGCGCCTGTTTTGCGTACTGGACTGTTTTGACGCTTTATTGCGTAACTCTGTATTCTGGAATAAATCCTGTTATTCTGTGATTTACCCTCCTGCGCCTGACTCCTTCAAATCACTACTTCACAGTATGAATACACAAAACCTTATTCAAATGAACATTCCCCAAATAATTGATAGCTTTGTTGAAGATGGCTGATCTAATCTAACAATATCTTTGACAACAGGCACCCAGGGGGGATTCCCAAGTGGGACACTGTATGCCAAAGTGGAAACCCTTTCAAACTACTCGTAGACTCTGCAACAGGCTTCAGTCAAAGCTAAACAAATTATTTCACAGAATGGGTGGAGCTCCAGTCCAAGGGGAAGAACTTCTGGAGAAAGCTGACTCCAGCGCTGTGATTCTGGTGCCCACTGACTCCAGTGCTGTGCTTCTGGAGAAAGCTGACTCCAGTGTTCTGCCTGGTTCAACCCTGAACTAATCTTCAGCCAGTAGGAGTGAGTCACCCATAGCAGAACCCAGTTAATCCGCTGTTCCTATAGGACATCATTCATCTGGCTCTGTAGAAGAGAAAATAGTTTTCGACCCTGTCAATCACTGCATTCTTATTGGCAGACTAAATAGCCTTGGTTTCTCAAATGACTGCCTCGCCTGGTTCACCAACTACTTCTCAGATAGAGTTCAACGTGTCAAATCGGAGGGCCTGTTGTCTGGACCTCTGGCAGTCTCTATGGGGGTGCCACAGGGTTCAATTCTCGGGCCGACTCTATTCTCTGTGTATATCAATGATGTCGCTCTTGCTGCTGGTGACTCTCAGATCCACCTCTACGCAGACGACACCATTTTGTACACATCTGGCCCTTCATTGGACACTGTGTTAACAAACCTCCAAACGAGCTTCAATGCCATACAACACTCCTTCCGTGGCCTCCAACTGCTCTTAAACGCTAGTAAAACGAAATGCATGCTCTTCAATCGAACGCTGCTTGCACCCACCCGCCCGACTAGAAACACTACTCTCGGCGAGTCTTACTTAGAATATGTGGACAACTACAAATACCTAGGTGTCTGGTTAGACCGTAAACTCTCCTTCCAGACTCACATTAAGCATCGCCAATCCAAAGTTAAATCTAGAATTGGCTTCCTATTTCGCAACAAAGCCTCCTTCACTCATGCTGCCAAACATGCCCTCGTAAAACTGACTATCCTACCGATCCTTGACTTCGGCGATGTCATTTACAAAATAGCCTCCAACACTACTCAGCAAATTGGATGTAGTCTATCACAGTGCCATCCGTTTTGTCAGCAAAGCCCTATATACTACCCACCATTGTGACCTGTACGCTCTAGTTGGCTGGCCCTCACTACATATTTGTCGCCAAACCCACTGGCTCCAGGTCATCTATAAATCACTGCTAGGCAAATCCCCGCCTTATCTTAGATCATTGTTCACCATAGCAACACCCACCCGTAGTATGTGCTCCAGCAGGTATATCTCACTGGTCATCCCCAAAGCCAACACCTCATTTGGCCGCCATTCCTTCCAGTTCTCTGCTGCCAATGACTGCAACGAACTGCAAAAATCTCTGAAGCTGGAGACTCTTATCTCCCTCACTAACTTTAAGCATCAGTTGTCAGCGCAGCTTACCGATCACTGCACATGTACACAGCCCATCTGTAATTAGCCCACCCAACTACCTCATCCCCATATTGTTATGTGGTTTCTGATGCACAAAGTAGAGGGTCCTCTCCAACCCGAATCTCTAACTACTTTAACTGATGAAAGCAGTCTATTGAGTGGCAAGTCCTCCCCTCGGCTGTCTCTCTCTGGCGTCATTATGGCAACAAGTGAGACCTCCAATGCAGCACGAAGCTTTAAGGCCAACATGGATGGAGAGGAAGTGTAAACCACCAGTTGTTCTGGTGTAGCTCAGAACATTGTCAGGGATGATATGTCAACCAGCCCAGACATGGTCAAAGATGTCCCACTTCCAACTCCATCCTCTGATAACTCAGACAGTGATGATGACTTCACCGGCCTCATCAGCATGTTAGTGGTGAGACTTCCAACAAAAATCCAAACCCCAACGGAGGAGTACCCAGTTGACATTGCACGCATGCCACAAGTCCTGGTCCCGGTCCCAAAAGTAATGGCTGTCTTCTGTGCATGGTCCGGCTGCTCTGAGTCTACAGGGCCATCTACAAAAGCTGTTGGAGGAGTTTGGGTCCGAGAAAATCCCCCAACTGGCTGTGTCGACTCAGGGCTCTACATTTAATAGGATTCTTGTCAAGTCTTTGAGTGTAGAGCTTCTCTACAGATGCAATGAGGCATCGAGGGCAGCCTCAAGAACATCGTTCAAAGCCACCAGGCCTGAGGCTCTTCCTCAGGCTGAGGATGTGAAGGCTACTGCCTATAGGCCCTATAGGACAATAAGCTATAGAAGCGGGAAGTGTCCTTTCCTACAAAGGCTGATCAGGCTGACAAGCAACTTAAAGGTACTGCATACTTATTTAAATTAACAGTTTATACAAAATATAAAATTATCCATTCATAAATCTTGTTGTGTTGGTGTGGTAGAATGGATTATTATTATCATAAGGTTGTTCAGCTGTGATAGTTTTTTTGCCATGTTTTTCTCTTTAAACACTTAGCCCTTCAAGAAGGGGATTCCCACTGCTCTGAATCAGAACAAGTACAGACCACTGCTGAAGATAGCATGCGTAAGCCCACAAAGCAGGACATTTTCTGTTTGAGATATTGGTGTACAAAGAAATGCTATTGCAAAATAACCCTACAACCCTCCTGAGTGGCGCAGTGGTCTAAGGCACTGCATTGCAGTGCTAAACTGTGCCACTAGAGATCCTGGTTCGAGTCCAGGCTCTGTCACAGCCGGCCGCGACCAGGAGACCCGTGGGCGGCGCACAATTGGTCCAAGGTAGGGGAGGGTTTGGCTGGCAGGGATGTGGGTTCGTTTCCCACGGGGGGCCAGTATGAAAAAACAAAACATGTATGCATTCACTAACTGTAAGTCGCTCTGGATAAGAGTGTCTGCTAAAATGTAAAAGCTATATATCTATAGTCATCTGTTATGTAAAAGCTTTTGGTTCTCATTTATCAGTGTAAGTTTTTTTTAGTTGTAACTTAAAGTTAGATGTTAGCCTACATTACAACATATAATTTCTAAATGTCAACTCTCCCTCTTCTGTAGTGCCCAGCATGGTACCACATGCTGGAACATCTGCACTGCCAGAGGATCTCCCCTCCACTTCTCAACAGAAGAAGCCTCGCAAACATCCACTCTAAAGGCCTGTGCAAGCCCTTCAAACGGTACTCAAATATCAAGTAACTCAGACAATTTATTGGCCAACTTCATTCATTGCATTAATTCATTGCATTAAATTGATGGCCTTTCTGTTCCTGTTAACAAATCAGATTACAAAATAACTGGCTTTTTAATGTTATCAGTGATAGCCACATTAACTATAGTGGTGTCTCCCTCTGTGTGTATAGCTAGCTCTTCTACACAAGGTCTGACTCATACGGTCTCCTGACACTGGCGTGCCCTCTGATCTATGATCTGCTGAGTGGCTGTAGGCCTGCAGGGCTGAGACTCAGCTCTCTCTGCCCTCCTGTCCCAATACATTTTCTCTCTTCTGAAATATCTGCCTCTGTCAGCAGCCAGCCAGCACAGGAAAACATATAGTGCTGCTGAGAGAGCATTCTTGTCTCCCTCACTGCTAAAACACTGAGTATTGTCTTTTATCTATTGCAGCATATTCAATCTTTTGTTTTAACCTATTATACATGAATAGTCCCCAGGAATCATTTCCCAACGGTTATATAACAGGAAAGGTAATTTAAAAAGTCTACCTATATGACTCACCCAAAGACATCAGCAGCTTGCCATATAGATAGCTAGGTTATGTCGGTACACAGTGGTAATACTGCCTGCCTTGGGAGATAATGATGTAGGATGAGTAAGATGCCTGCTTACCACATCACTTACCCAGGTGCCTTACACACAACCATGACAATATGCTTTCTTGAGATTCATAGCTGTTAAGAGTCTATGAACTACATAACTCAAACTCACATACAACAAAGATATGATTATCATTCACTAAGGTCAGAGCAGATAGTGTATAAAAACAAAACACTTTATTACAATTAGGCTGAAAAAATCCAATGAAAACAACTACTTTACAAGTACAAATGTTTTCCCTTTTCCATTCTTATTTACAGTTGTTTTTTTTATCAACATCAATACAAAATGACACATTTGAGAAAACACAAGATACTTAATGTTTACAGTGTATTTGTTACATAAAAAACAATTAACGACTGAAGGAACGTGCATTATTTTCCATAGAATATCTGAAGGTTACAAAAAAAAAAAAAAAAAGTCACATCCAGATTGTATTTCATTTGTGTATTGAGTGATTGTTTATAACTGTGATACAATCCCTATTGGGGCAGTTTTGGACATGGCAAGCTCCAACATAATAAGGAACTCACTTTTAAGGACACCTCTTTCAATGTTAAATTGGTACACTGAAAAAGGTTATGTGAATGTGTTTCTAAGGGTACAACTCTGCAATCACTAATGGCTCAGGGCTTTGATATGTGAGTATATGTTTCACAATGAAAATTAGCATGAGGACTGAAATCCTCTGACCTTTATCCTTCTGGTAGGCAAAATGCACCTGTAGTACTGAGATGTAGCCACATTACTATACATTACTTGATCATGATAAGATTGTTTTTTCCCAGAAGGGTATTTTCTATATCTATAAACAACTAGGAAATTACAGACATCATAAAAGGTAAGCATGAGAAGGACATCAAGGGGGGCATGGACAATGTAAGGATACACAAAACATTTTTCAAATGAACATTCCCCAAATGAGTGATGCACCAGCCCATTGGCTCCAGCCACAGGCTATCTATGTAGTAACATTAATATATTCATCCATATAAAATGCATGAATATTCTTTTTATGCTTTTCTGATCTTCTATTAGATGTTGGTGCAGGGGGAGGTTGCCTCCAGGGGAAACCTTCTGAAACAGTGGAGAGGGAAACAGCTGACAGTTACAGAACTGTTGTAGAAGATGAAACACTCTTGAAGACATGCCATTCCTTTACATGGAGCAGTTCCTTTAACCAGGTTAGATTCAACACAGCCACCTCAGACTGGACTCCACCGCTCCACCAAAGTGAAAGAATCTCTTCATAACTCTGCTCCTCAGAGTCACTGTGAGTGTATTTACACTGATGAGATGGGCTCTTTGGCCTAGCTGAGAGGGGAGCACTAACTATTCCTGTGGGCTCCTAGCTGCTGCCCCCGCTGGGCTTGGCCTGGTTCTTGCCCCTCATGGCCCCTCCACGAGCCTGGGCCTTGGCTGGCTGCTGCTGTACTGGGGACTCGGCAACAGCGGGCGCTTGGGCCTGCTGGGCTGGGCTGTGAGGAGAGGTAGTCTGGATCTGAGGCGAGGCGACTGCAGTCACCACCTGCTGCTGGAGGAGCTTCTGCTGAACCACCTGGGCTGTGGATGTGCCTGATGGAATCATCTGGACCTGGGGCTGGGCTGAGGATGCAGTCTGGGTCAGGGGCACCGTCTGGGGGTGGATCTGATATGAGACAAGAGGGTCACATTGGATTAGACAGACGACAACACGTTACCAGACTATGCTGCCCCTCTTGGTAGCTATATTCACAGTCATAACATTTCACAACAGTTTATATTTCAATGTTAAATTGGTACACTGAAAAAGGTTATGTGAATGTGTTTATAGGGAATGACCGAAATGCCAAAACGCACAAAAGCATTGTGAAATTTAACCAAGCTGACTTGTATTTGAGTCACATGCCATGAAGACGTGAACAATCATGAAAGGTCATGACGCACAGTAAGCAGAACCTGTTACTTCATTCTATACGCCTCATAAGAATCCTGTATGATACTGCCCTTCGGTGGGGCATAGTGCTCTTACCTGCTGTGGAGATGACACGATCTGCTGGATGTTGGCCACAGTGGATTGCCCCTGCATTATCTGGGGGAGCTTAGCCACCTAACATGCAAGGGAAAACAGTTAGCATTCCTCACACCTCTGGATAATAGCCCTCTATACATGTATGACCCAAACCCTAAAGGCCAGAGTGTTGGGAGTATCTGAGTAGTAAAAAGATGAGTGCATACCTGGATTTGCTGGGCCCCAGTGGGTTTTCCAGCCTGGGCGATGGAGGTAGTGAAGAACTGGGTCTTGATGCCAGGTTGGAGCTGGGTGGTGGCAGCATAGGTGACCTTCTGCTGCTGCTGGGCGGCCTGGGGACCCTGCACGGTCACCTGCTGGGTGCCCAACTGAGGGAGAGGACACAGAGAAGAACTAGGCTCACAACAAGATTCTTCTGACAAGAATGCATGGCAACTATTTATAGACTGGGTTGTAGTTTCAAGAGCACCACTTTCTGTTAAGATTTGAAATACACCTCTGACCAACCCACACCCTTTGGTAACAACAAGAGAACACTTGTACATATGTGTGTGGCTGTGTAGACTGCGGTGGTTCTGTTTGTCCCTAGAGCCCCACCTTCTGCTGCACAGTGGCCGGTCCTGGCTGTGGCTGCACTGCTTTCTGCTGGGCTGCTGCCGCCTGCACGGCTGCCTGCTGCTTCTTCATCTGGAGCAGCTGCTGCACCTGCATCTGGGGGAACGGGGGCTGCAACACCGGCCCAGCTACAGGAGCGAAGGAGAGACAGGTCAGAGATATGGTGACTCAGGAACAGGACAACCTCAACCAACAGAGGGAGTGTGGAGGTATGTGTGTGCTATCATTGTGCTAAGAGGAGCAGATTCTGAGTGCTTCAGTCTAATCAGTTGCTGAGAATCGGAGGACTTCCCCACCTGTTTTCTGGGCCTGTCCAATGGCCACACTGATACCAGCCACAGTGACGGGCAGGGTGGTGACGCCAGCGGAGGAGACCACAGCGGGCACAGAGACTACGGGGGGCTTGGTGAGGGTCACCTGGGCCGTCTGCCCTGGCTGGGCCTGGATCTGACCCTGGGTGGGTACCCGCGTCTGGGGTGGCACAGACAAACACTGTTATAAACACCGTTTCAATGGATTAATAATTCAGCTCATTATTCAAAATGGACACATCTTAGCAGTGACATTGTGTGGCATTTACCAGTCTGAAAATAATAAAGATCAGCACAACAGTGGTACTAATCCCCTAGGCCAGGCTACAAACAAGAGCAGGGGATGAAGTTGGTCCTCACCAGTCTGGCCACCTGCAGGTTGGCTACGGTTGAACCAGCCAGCACTGCCCCGGCTCTGGGAGCAGCAGCTACAGCGGCCAGCTGGGGGTTGGCCTGAGCTGCCTGGGGGTTAGCCGGCTGGACCTGGGAGGCCTGCTGCTGCTGCTGGGCCATCTGCATCTTCTGCTTGTGCATCTTCAGCAGCTCCTACAGCCAGAGAACGAGTTCAAGTCAAGTTATATCTCAAGTGCTTTGATATTTTAGTATCTGGAATACAGTGCAGTGTGGTTCGCTGACTGCGATGCATTTTGCAATCCTACGTGAATCCAATTCATGTGCATTCACATAGACTTGTAAAGTGTTAAGCTTGCACTGGTGTGAGAAGGGGACTGAGCATCAGTAGCAGCTAATGCCAGGAGGCCATGCAGCAAGTGAAGGGATTTTCTGTAAAGCACAGTACCTGGGGTTTGCCCACAGCCTTGATGCCTTGTGGAGAGGCAGCCTGTTGTTGTTGCTGCTGGAGCTGCTGCTGGCGGAGCATGTGGAGGTGGGCCTGGGTGATGGGCTTCCCCTGGGGCAGCTGCATGCCTGTGGCTGCGGACAAACAGAGGGAGAGGAGACAGATCACAAAACCAGGGGCCAGGGCACTTTAGTTAAGTTGTTTTGTTCTTTCCCTGTGTACTTTGACAGGTTACTGTAAAGTTGCTGTTAAAAGGGCTATCTAAATTAATTTGATAGATTGATTGACTTTTTGTATGTGTTCAGTGTGAACAATGTGTCCAGTACCTGGTGTGACCTGAGTTACCAGGGAGCGGGTCTGAGACTGCACTGGGGTCAGAGTGGTGGACACCACCGCAGAGGCGGTCACCGGGGTAACGGCCCTGACACCCTGACCCGTAGCTATGGCGATCACCTCTCCAGGGGTGGCAGTGGCAGGGACGACTCTCTGCTGGGAGTGGACCACCTGGGCTCCTGCTGCACCGGCAGGCTGGAGGGGGGACAAGAGCACAGGGCCTCATGTTAGACCGACAGATCAACACCTACTAGGACCATTCACTCTGTCAGCAAGACTGAATACTTCTCATACAATGGTGATTGTGTGTTATTATACAAAAACTGGGAAACATTCCCCAGGAGTTGAGTGAAGCAATAACAGAGGCAATAAATAGAGTGACTTACAGACAGGGTGCCTGGTATGACTTGACCTGGTGATGCCAGCCGTTTGTTAGCCTGGAATGGACTTGGAGGAACTCCAGGCACTGTGTTCACAATCACGTTCCCCGCTACAGTGGCTGAAAGGGATAAAAAGGAAAGTACTTCAGAAGTGACTATTTCATTACAGACCAAATGTTTTATAATGATCAATGCCTGTGCCATGAAAACCCACCAGCTTGAATGGTCGTTCCCACAGCAGCATTCTTAATGGCTCCAGCCTGAAAAACACAAGTAACATTGTCATAAAAACATTTTCTTTCAAAATGATGCTCTTTTTCTATATAGACAGCACAAAGAACAACTTGAAAATTGTAATGTTTTCCCATTCTCACCAGGACAGCAGTGTTGGGTACAGCGGTAGCTCCAGTCACTGCAGGGGCCTGGGGGACTCCCGGGGCCTGGGCTTGGCCTGCAGCGGGAGCCCCAGCCTGGGATTGGGCAGCACCGGCCACGGCCTGGGTGGCTCCAGCCTGCTGAGCTAGCTGCTGAGCCCTCTGCTGCTCCGCTAGGGCCTGACAGGACACACACAGACAGACATGTTGATGATAAGTGTGAGCACTGTCATACTGCAAACCTAGCCATTAATCCAAAACCAGAGAGAACATATAGTAACAGTACACACCTTCTTCTCCTTTGCAATCCTCTCAGCACGTTGTGATGCCACCTGAATGGGAGGGAGGGGCTTGTCGTAGCCGATCCCACTTTCTGCCAGGACGGAGGCATGCTTGGGGTTCTTCTGGAATGGGTTCATCCCCAGACTATGAAGACGAAGCAAACATTCCATAGAGTTAATTGATAGTTGCACACTAAGCATGTTTATCAAGAGGCAGATAAAACAACATGCATTACTTCATGCTACAGAGGAATGGTCATGTTGAGTGCTTACAGTGGTTTGATGGGGGGACTCCTCTTGCTGGCGATGATCTTCATGAGCTCAAAGCGGCTGTTGTAGAGCTGGATGTGTGTAGCGTTGTCATCCTGGGTGTAGATCTGACAGGTCCGCAGTGGCCGGCTGTTCTTAGACTGGTGGAGGAGAGAGGAGGGAAACTGGTCAATCAAGAGAGCTCTGTGAATCCAACAATATGACCACTGTAAAAGGCAAGAGTAGAGCATACGTACCTTGTATATGCTCTTGGTTTTCTTCTTGGGGTTAACCTCATACACCAACTAAAATTTGCAACAAAAACGGTATGGGTTAATTATCTGAATGCTCAAACAACAACATAATGTCCTGACTTCAGTAGTCACGGCTGCTCACCTTGCCCTCCTCCCGGGGGATGATGACGTTCTCGTAGCGGTTGCGACACTGCTTGGGCGAGCGGTAGACACGGCTGCAGGAGTTGACCACGTCGCTGACCAGGTCCCAGTTGGGGGTGTGGGCCGGAGACACGATGGTTAGGTTCAGAGGGAGCTCCAGGAGCTGCTTCACAGCCTGCCGCGGACAAAGAGAGAGGGGACACTTACTTCACTAATGGAATACATCATATTAACTTAACTACAACACATCTCATCACAATTACAGGACTACGTAGATGACAAATAGCTTAGCTTCTAAGTATACTTTAGTTCACCTCATCTGAGAGTATCTAGCAAACGTACATTAAGACAGACATTTCCACAGTATTGGGTAAAACAAGCTATTTCAGTAGCAGCATGCCCAGTACCTGTAGCAGGGCCCAGTCTTCACTGATGAGCCACTCTGGGTTGTCCTGTCCAGCCTCCATGGCAGGTTTGACCAGCGAGGGCAGAGGCTTGGCGAAGGGCGCCTGCTGCTTCAGGGAGAAGTTCTTCTTTTGGTCCTTGCCTTCGCGGCGGACCTTGAGCATGCTGGCCTTCTCAAAGAGGGAGCGAGGAGGAATCACCGTCTCCCCATGACCCTTTTTTTTCTTCCTGCCTGCTGCGGAGCACAAGCACATGGGATAGGACAGAGCTCACAAGTGCATCACTACACACAATGTACCATACTGTAATGTTTGTTACAGAAATACAAAGCCTTACCTGAGGGGTCCATCTTGAGTCTCTTGTGCTCCTTGCGGATGTAGACAGGAGGCAGTTTGGACTCCGGCATGGGAGCAGAGTCGTACATCAGACAGATGACAGAGTCGATATAGATGTCGTTGTCATCCTGCGGTGGGGTAGGTGGAGTCCACAGCTACAACCAGAACCATAGGTTAATATACAGCTGACATGCTCATGGATAATAAGAGGATACACTATGATATACCTCAGGTACTGTCATGTACATGTCATTTCTTTGTCATGACTGATCACGAGAATCCAAATAGGTCAGATCAGGTTTGCAATGAATAACTTCAATCAGACCCCCTCTCACCCGTAGAGGGGGAAGGAAAGAACTAGTGGGTATTAACAACTCACATCCTGTTGTAAATCAAGGGAGACGATCTAGGCTCTCCCTCTCAAGATTCACCAAAGGAATGTTCATTGTTTCAACAAACGTTTTCCTGCTGAAACTCTAACACGTTCAAAAGCGAATACTGGAACAATATTTCTAACATAGAACGTGGGGAATGGTCAGAGGCAATCTATAGGACACGAAGGTCATTTTGTTTGTTATTTTGTGATGTCATTAAACCATTTATAAAGGAAATACTGTAACTTGGAAAGTATACCCACTACATGTATGAAGTTTCCATACTATGCGTTGTGCATGTAATATGAAGAATGATTAAAGTATTTTTGTTAAGAGAGGGATGTGATTTGAGAAGCTATAAGAGATAATTGTTTTCCATGAGCTTTACACAGTGAGTAGTCACCGCCCCGGAGTGAGGTCAGTGAGCGTGTCAGCCTGCCGGAACCACCCCTTTCGACCAAAGTGTATAAATGATGGGTTAAGAAAAACAGAAAAGCGTGAAGCGGCAGCTACACGTTTAAAATGGTTGGAACTTTGAATCTCAACACGAAGTGAAGAAAATAAACTCACCTCCTGGACAATCACTGGTACGGCTGATTAGCTGTCCTAAGTAAGGTATCTTCGAAAGCAAATTTAAGTAGGACCATCTGCTACTCTGCTCAAACATCATATTACGCTACTCTCATCACCCCACTGGGGAACCATCGATATGGCTGGCTAGCCTATCTTCAAAGAAGCAGTAGTTCTGTTCAGGACTACATGACAAGTTACCGGATACCAGACAACTAAGAAGAAGGACAACAGTAGAAGACTGTTGGAACCATTTCGGACAAATCAGAGCCTTACTAGTGTGCTGCGAAAAGCCCAACCCCCTTTCCAAGGCTGCCCTGTTCAACGAGAGATCCCCGGCGAACCCAGGCATTTCATGTAAAACATTCATGATTTCTTACTCAAAGCGGGCGGCAGTTCATGTGCCAAGTATATGGTTACTGTAGGTGAGAGTAGTTTTTGAATGTACCAATGTTAAGTGTCTCTGTCCCTCCCTCTCCATCTCTTCTTCAACTAGCAGCCATGTTGTTGTCATTCCACTAGGGACCTGTTTTCTCCAGTCAATAACCGGTGCAGAGTGTGTATGTTTATCCTGTGTTCCCATTTAATTAGATAGTAAATAAATAATTAAACCAATTTGTGTAGTACTGAATCATAAGTAAGGCTCGGGTTTTTGCAGATGCAAGGAGGTTACAACTGTTCAGAATGATGATATGATACGAGGTTATGATTAATTAGATGTGATAGGTAAAGACCTTTTAGAGTTTAATTCGGGAGATGGTAACTCTTTAAAGAACCGCTCTCGTGGTGCCCCAGATCCTAATGAGTTAATTGTTACATGATTAATTTAATCGGGTACCAATTAAACATAGTTAGTTAATTAGATAAAACAGTCTTCAGATTAATGAATAAGTCAAGTCACGACATCTTGCTCATTCTGATGTCTTCATTTCTTGTTCTTAAAAAAAAAAAACTTTAGATTATGTGTGTATTGTTATTGTATTGCTAGATATTGCTACATTGTTGGAGCTAGAAACATAAACATTTCAATGCACCTGCGATAACATCTGCAAAACTGTGAACGCGACCAATAAACTTTGATTTGATGTATATATGTGACTGACTTACCGGCATGATTTCCGTTTGGCCATCTTCTCCATCAAACACATACTCCTGTTGAAACAGAGGCAAGAGTTAAGCTCCCATTACATTTTATATTTTAGTCATTTAGCAGAAGCTCTTCTTCATACTAGCCCCCCGTGGGAATCGAACCCACAACCCTGGCATTGCAAGCGCCATGCTCTACCAACTGAGCTACACGGGACCATTACCACGGATTTACAATGGAAACTCACTACAGGCTCTGTTCTGTTATTTGAACACTGTGACCACCAGATGAGAGAGTGAAAGCCTACCATGTTGTAAGCATCCTCTCTGGTGTAGGTGAACAGGTCCTCCTCATTCTCAATGATCATCCTCTCTGAGTCTTCAGCCTTCAGTTTCTGGAGGTGCTGCATCTCCCAGCCTCTCTTTGCACACAACAGTCGCTCCTGAAATTCACATTAGGCATGAAATAATTATCAAAGTTGTTTGTAATTGTGGTCTGGTGCTACTTTGAGAATGCAAGGTCTTACGAGCTAGTAGTACCTTGGATGTCTGAGAGGACTGTTTTGAGTCTTACCTTGGCAACATGTTCATCTTCCCTGACATGAAGATACTCCAGGTATTGCAGGGCATATTTTTCTATTGGCGTTAGCTGATGGAGGAAAAGATTAAGACAATCCAGCATTAGTTAAAACAGATGTGCTAGCTCCCTGGTATGTAGTCTACAAGACAAGCCAGCATTAGTTAAAACAGATGTGCTTGCTCCCTGGTATGTATTCTACAAAATACTGTAAGAAGGCACTTAATGACAGTTTATCACCTGGTCCATGACAGCGTTGAGCTCCTCCAGCTGAGATGGCTCTTCTTTGACTTGCGCCTCCTTCTCCAGGTCTTCCTGACCCTCCTCTTCCTGCTGCTCTGGTGGCGGGGAATTCAGGCTGATGCTGTGGAGGGCCTGGATGTAGGGCCTGGCCACGCGGGGAGAGATTGCCTCAGAGGGAGATGGCTCCTGGTGCAGAACCACAAACTCCTCAACCTTCTCCCCCGAGCCTGCTTCCACCTCAAACAGGTCTTGGATGGTCCGCTGGACACACAGAGACACAGCGTATGAAATAACCAAATATAGTATGGGTTTTAGTCAGAGTGGGACTGGGGTCTGGTTGGTGTGAGGGTAAAATATCCTACCTGTGTGAGGAATGCCAGGGTGTAGTCAGTCCCCTGGGCAGCCACCTCTCTGATCAGATCCTTGGTGCCGTTCTTCAGCAGCTTCTCTTCAATGGAGTTCCCACTCTCCAGTCTTGGATATAAAATACCAAGTTACCAACCTCAGACTGACTAACATTCAAGTTAGTGATCCTGATATGGTACGTAGAGTTATGGAAGAACATGTCTTTAGCCTGTTTGTTACCTATAGATGTGGATGTCCTTGAAGCGTCCGATCTTTTCACACCACTCCTGGGTGCGGGCGTCCACGCTGGGGTTGAGGTCTGTGTCGTAGAATATAATGGTGTCTGCATCGAACACAGTCCCCACGGCCGAACAGCAGCGGTTGGTCAGGATGCTGCAGAACACCTGTCTGTTCCTGTTGAAGGTCTTCATATGCTCCTGATGGGAGGGAGGGAGATATCATGAGAAACAGATAGAGACAGATTAGTCCCAAGGAGAGGGCTTCAGAGTTTTATCCTATCCCAGTACTTCAATTAAGATAATGGCATAGGTAGCATTACGTTTTGTGACCCTGACACACACTTGTTTAGCATCTACAAAACACATGGTATAGATGGTTGGAGAGGTCTATATCCTACAAATTATTGTATGGTTTATGATAAGAGTATATCCTGCATCAGTGACTGGTGTGCTGAAACTGAGCAGTTCTTTACAACTATACTTTGTCTTTTAGACAAATGAAGACACGCCTCCTCTGCTTCAAATCTTACAAACCAAACACCTCCGGTATAGTTCACTCAGCTCACCGACAGAAAGAAGGAAGGAGAATTAAACAAGAGGTCGGTTAGAGAAGAGACAGACACGTCTGATTGGACAGCCCAAAAAAAAAAGCAAGTGTAGCAGAAGAGTAAAAAGTACAGCACTAAAAAAGCCAGAAAGCCCCATAGGTTCTCTAGTTGCCCTTGTGTGCTTCTCTTAAGGCCCTAGGAGGAACAGCATCCAGTAGGGAGGGAAGAGAGCGTAGTACTCTGTCCCCTTATAGTGCCAGAACACTGCACTGAATCAAGAGGTCCCGGTGTTAGACAGGGAGAAACAGAAAGAGAGGCAGGGCTGTCACTGAGTGAGTGAACTACAATTAACCCTAGTAATACAACACAATAGAAGTCTCTGTGTGTGAACTCACTATAACACAGGCACCATAACTGGTGCAGCGGATGACTTCCTTGGTACAAAGGGGTTTTACCTGACGTTCCTCTGTGGTCAGGCTCTCGTCCACGCGGATGTATGTGAGCTGCCGGTGGTCCAGGAAGGCCTCCAGGATGTCCAGCATCTTCACCATCTGTGTGAAGATGAGGACTCTGTGATTCTCCGACCTCAGCTTCTGGAGCAGAATGGCCAGGGCCTCAAGTTTACCTTTGGCGGAAAAAAATTGATACTAATTTTAGCGTAATTCGAACGATGTGTGCAGCCCATGCACACAATGGACTACCTATGTTTAGCCAGGCTTATAGGAGAGCCTAGAGCCCTGGCACACAAAGCTAAATATACTATTCTGCTGAGCTCACCTGAGTCCATCTGCATGAGCTGCAGGTCAGGGAACTGGAGCTGGTGTCCAGAGGACAGGCGGTGGATCTCTGTGCTTTGGGGGGCGGCAGCCACCTGGAGCCTGCGACTGATCAACTTCTGCTCCAGGCTGTAGGGAGCTGGGGGATTGGCTGCATATAGGTGAGGGGGAGGAGCTACTGCGACAGGGACAACACATGATAACCTACAGAGAGGAGAGAGTTTTTTAATGACTGTAAGAAATACAAAAGGCTATATGAACTCAAGTAGGCTTTAACTCAATTCACTGTACGCAAATTGAACTAGATTTTGAACCAGGGTGATTACGTCCATCCTATAATAAAAGTTGAATCCGACAGTGATGTGAGGTGATTGACCACCATGGGTAGTTGGGTACCTGCTGACTAGGCTGTTGCCGGCGTCCTGGCGGTGTGTGGAGGAGAGCAGGGCAGACTGGAGGTGTGTGGTGGTGGCCACAGGGGTCCTCTGGGCCCTGAGGCAGCTTTCCCTGCCCACCCACCTCCAGCCCCTGGGGCTCAGGGCAGAGTGAGGAGCCCCTGGGATCACAGAGCAGGCCTGGAGCAGGTCAGCCCCATACAGCACACTGCGGCCACAGCGCCGCTCGTTAGCACTGAACAGGCGGCTCAGACGCTCCTTCAGCAGACGACTCCTCTCCTCTGACGACTCCTGTACACGACACAGAAGAAAGGCATCATATTGACATTTCATCACTTTGGTGAGAATATGGATCATGGGACTACGGAAATATAGGTACAGTTGAAGTCGGAACTTTACATACACCTTAGCCAAATACATTTAAACTCAGTTTTTCACAATTCCTGACATTTAATCCTAGTAAAATTCCCTGTCTTAGGTCAGTTAGGATCACCACTTTATTTTAAGAATGTGAAATGTCAGAATAATAGTAGAGAGAATTATTTATTTTAGCTTTTATTTATTTCATCACATTCCCAGTGGGTCAGAAGTTTAGTATTTGGTAGCATTGCCTTTAAATTGGTTAAATTAGGTCAAACTTTCAACCTTTCGGCCAACTTTTGACCCATTTGCGACAAGCTGTTAACTTCCTGACTGTAGCTCTTGAGAATGTTTTTCAATTATCCACAAATTTTCCTTCCTCATGATGCCATCTATTTTGTGAAGTGCACCAATCCCTCCTGCAGCAAAGCACCCCCACAGCATGATGCTGCCACCCCCGTGCTTCACGGTTGGGATGGTGTTCTTCGGCTTGCAAGTTCCCCCCTTTTCCTCCAAACATAATGATGGTCATTATGGCCAAACAGTTCTATTTTTGTTTCATCATACCAGAGGACATTTCTCCAAAAATTACAATCTTTGTCCCCATGTGCAGTTGCAAAACCGTAGTCTGGCTTTTTTATGACGGTTTTGCAGCAGTGGCTTCTTCCTTGCCGAGCGGCCTTTCAGGTTATGTCGATATAGGATTTGTTTTACTGTGGATATAGATACTTTTGTACCTGTTTCCTCCAGCATCTTCACAAGGTTCTTTGCTGTTGTTCTGGGATTGATTTGCACTTTTCGCACCAAAGTACGTTCATCTCTAAGAGATAGAACGTGTCTCCTTCCTGAGCGGTATGACGGCTGCGTGGTCCCATGGTGTTTATACTTGCGTACTATTGTTTGTACAGATTAATGTGTTACCTTCAGGCGTTTGGAAATTTCTCCCAAGGATGAACCAGACTTGTGGAGGTCTACAATTGTTTTCTGAGGTCTTGGCTGATTTCTTTTGATTTTCCCATGATGTCAAACAAAGAGGCACAGAGTTTGAAGGTAGGCCTTCAAATACATCAACAGGTACACCTCCAATTGACTCAAATGTTGTCAATTAGCCTAGCAGAAGCTTCTAAAGCCATGACATCATTTTCTGGAATTTTCCAAGCTGTTTAAAGGCACAGTCAACTTAGTGTATGTAAACTTCTGACCCACTGGAATTGTGATACAGTGAATTATAAGCAAAATAATCTGTCTGTAAACAATTGTTGGAAAAATTACATTACCATGTCCTAACCGACTTGCCAAAACTATAGTTTGTTAACAAGAAATTTGTGGAGTGGTTGAAAAACGAGTTTTAATGACTCCAACCTAAGTGTATGTAAACTTCCGACTTCAACTGTATGTGTCTTCATTTCATTTTCTACTGTGTTCTACCAGTGCCCGTTCTACCTACCTGAGGAGCAATAGGAGCAGCAGGAGCAGGCTTGGCGCTCACCCCTGAAGCTTCACAAGTAGAGGGAGAAAGACAAAGACCATTACAGCACAATCACTTTGTCAGAAAGGTGACTATAGAGTAATATTGACAGTGTAAGCCATGACAGCAGAGACAGTACCTGTGGAATTATATCACTATCTGCACTATTCACAGTAAAAAGGTGGCTGGCTTACCTTGGTAGGTGGAGGTGGCTGGGGGTGGGGTGCCAGGTGTGGTGGAGGAGTTGGAGACGGGTACAGCCTGAGGTACCGTCTGCATGAGCATGGAGCCCTGAGGCCGGAGGATTTGCTGACCGGGGGCCGACACTATCTGCAGGATGTTACCTGTACCACCACACAACCAGGCACACAGACACAACACGGAAACCTTTAAACAGCTATTTAGGGTAAAAACCATTTAATTTCATCACTCTCTAAGTAAAAATGTCTATACATGTAACATTGGTTATCCAACTCTAAATATTTCTATGACGGGGAAATTGAATAAATTACATGGTAGAGAGAAAAGTAGCATCTTTGTTGCAAGTGATTGCAATATAGTGAAGGGAAAGAGAGGTAATAAGGAGAGTATGAAATGGGTGTACATTACCGAGTGTACCTTGGAGCTGCAAGGGCTGCCCCGTGGTGAGCTGTCGGAGCTGGCTGGGGGACAGGGTGAACTTGTTGCCCTGGAACTGCAGAGTGACGGGGGTCTCAGGCTGGGAGATCCGGTTCTGACTGCCTGCTATGGACGCCAGCTGGGCTATCTTCACCACATCTCCACCTTCAGCAGGAGGGAAGACACACACACCTCTAGTCAAATAACACCACAGACTAAAGGAGGACTGTTGTCAGAAACAGTCTAGTAGTGCATCACCAAAAATACAAAATAAAGACATGTTTGATATTTCAGTTAGTTGAAGGGTGAGAGAGACTAGACATGCAGAACCAGGGTGGGTTAATAAGTGGGACGAGCGTAGGTAGCGGCACTCCACAACACCAGAACCATTGCGGTTGCTAATCTCTACCAAACCCTGAGGGGGAAAAGAAAAAAAACAACTAAAACAGTAATCTTCAGGTGAGACAGACCCTGCAACAAACATGTATTCAGTTAAAGCAGTGGCTTGCACTTAACTGCCTTTTCAACAACAACACATATTACAGGCATGCAATTAGATGATGCACCTTTATCCAAATGATTGCCAAAAAATACCTGTATTCTCTTTTAAAGATACATTTTCTGGTCTAGAATAGTTTTATATGCTATAATTTCTGAGTTGTGTGTTGAGTTGCTATTGAAAAGGTATCCGTGTGTGTTCACACTGGGGGGTAGGGAGTGGCCTGAGGTCAGCAGTGTGTGGGACCATTTACACATGCTTAGCAGTGCACACCCTCAGAGTCAAAATAAACCATAAAAAACAACATTAACAAACAAAGGAACCAAAGATTTGGGATCCCTTCCTGCAGCTGAGCTGACAAGAGGCAAAATATTAGTAAAATGGGAGAACCAATATTTGGGTGGGGAAAATATACTTTTTAATGGTTAAAACAGTCTTGTGTGGTCTGTCGACATGCAGGTTTTAGAAGAGAGAGACTGAGGCGGCTGTTTGGGGATGCTGCTGATGTGGCTGTAGTTCTCATTTTTAAAGTGCTCTTTTTCTTCACTCAGTGATATGCTGGAGTAAAATAGGACAATGGAAATGCCATAGCTGTAAACCTGAATATGTTCTCTAACTTTACAAATATGTCAAAGTTATAAAATATGTCATGTTAAACAATACTGTTACCATGATAATATTCTAGTACTATAATTTTTTCCTAAGTATTTACATAGGAAAAAGTGCTGTTTCTTTAAAAGCCAAGACCCAAACACACATCAGCAGTGTCCAGGAGAGAGACCTGTTGTCAGAGCAGCCCTTTCTGATGAGCCGAAAGTGGAGGGAGACGTTGAAGGGAGGGGAGGGGGCCACTTACTAGGCAACCTTGCCTGGGCCTGGGACGTTAGAACCAGCCTCTGGGGAACCAGGCTGGGCTGGATGGCATGGGTGGGGCCTAGGGCTGGCCTGTGGACCTGGACAATGCCAGGCAGAGTGGGCTGGGCTGCGCCACACAGAGCCTGGCCCAGGGCCACAGGGGACGCAGTCCCCACCACATGCTGGCCAGCAGCGGCGCACCCAGAGGAGGCTACAGCAGACCCAGTGGTGCCGGTGGCAGGAGAGGTAGTCTGGGCTTTCTGAATAGCCGTCCCAGCCACTGTGAAGTACAAGGGGGTTTGGAATGGGCTAACTGTTAGGAGGGGACTGAAACAACGCGTCAGTTAATTCAACAGCACAACTCAAGGGTGGTGGTCCATCAGATAGGTTTGGTTTATACCTGTCTGGGATTGATAGGTTTAGAGCAAGGATGGGCAACTGGCAGACCCCAATTTGTAGGCCCGCAGATCAATTTCAATTTTTTTTTAAATGGAACTCAGTCGGGGTCTCAACTTACTGTGGAGAGTTAGAATAGTATAATACACAAAGTGCAAGTCCGAAATTTGGTTGTGAATCAGCAGTTGTTCTCTTGTTATGTCAGTCACTGACAGTCACTCAATTAGCCCAAAAAACAGATAGGCAAGTTAGTCTAGAGGCCAGCTATGTAAACTTGGAGTAATCATGGTTGAATTACCGACTGGGGGCCCCCATTGGTCATCATATATCATATTAAAAACTGCAAACATTTGTCTCCACCCTATGGCAAAATGTGTAGAATTGCAGGAAAATAGTTATAAAACTTCACATTTTTCTCTCCGCCCCATAGCAAAAAGTATAGAATTGCAACGTTTTCTCTACGCCCCATGGCAAAATGTGTAGAATTGCAGGAAATTGACTCTCTCACCCTTTATTTAATTTTTCTTCGCTGTAAAGAGGGGGGCACTTAGAATTTTTTGCTCGCAAAATTTTGCTTAGGGCCGGCTCCGGCTGCATGTGTGGCTATGAATGTGGGTACGCACACCCGCGAGCCACGGCGGCCCCTCATGATGAGTTCCCATTTTCTGTGGCCCCCACACCCATCAAAGTTGCCCATCCCTGGTTTAGAGTCAAAAGAGGATGTCAATCAAATAAAATCTTCGCCTTGGACTTCCCTGCTTCAGAATACATTTGTAGTAGTAAACATTTTTGTTGTTGATTTTTTTCCGAAATTATGTTGATGACACCATTTTTAAGTTACACGTGCATAAACCAGACAATTTGAAAATGTAATGGCGGTAATGACAAACAATATGCATAGTTAGTTTAATTAACTTCACTAAAATGCCGTTTTTAATGTCATGACAGACTAAAATCACACATGCTTTACAAAACATTACATGGTAACATCATGCGATTATCTGTGTGATACACACTGCACAAATACTGTAAATAATCAACTGCAATTATCAAAACACATTAAGATAAATGTTTGATTTGCTTAATTAAGTTATTCAACTTGAAAACAGCATGAAACTTGAAAACAGTGTGAACCCCAGTGCATACATACCAAGGTGCACCATTGTTATAAGTGTCTATAGTGAGGTCTTACCCTGTGTGGTGCTAGTGGTGGTGGTGGTGACAGGGGACTTGCCCCTGGTCTGGGCTGGCTGAAGGCCAGTAGCGGTGGTGGTGGTAGTGGTAGCTGGAGGACGCTGCTGACCCACAGTACTGGTCATGGGCACTAGACGACCCTCTGGCTTGGTACCATACTGCACTGGCTGGAACAACCTGTCAATCAAATCATAGACACTCAATAAAGGTCAAAGGTCATGCAACACAGCCTAGCGCTACTGATGTAACATGATATAATAGAATTCGAAAACACACTTTATTTTCCATTTTTGTGATGTGAAAGGTAGAACACAGACCTCATGGGTTTGATCTTGCAGGGCTTGGGTCTGGCCGGTGGGTCCGGGGCACCGTGGATCTCCTCGATCAGCTGACGGGTGACTTTGAGTTTGGGTAGAACCTCCTCTGTCTCGTAGCGTGTCAGTCTGTTCTCATTACTGATCAAGTCAAACATGGACAGGTCCAGGCTCTAGAAAAAGAGAAAAGGAAAACAAGCGTGTTCTGAACCTCATACAGTGGGGGAAAAAAGTATTTAGTCAGCCACCAATTGTGCAAGTTCTCCCACTTAAAAAGATGAGAGAGGCCTGTAATTTTCATCATAGGTACACGTCAACTATGACAGACAAAATAAGGAAAAAAAATTCCAGAAAATCACATTGTAGGATTTTTAATGAATTTATTTGCAAATTATGGTGGAAAATAAGTATTTGGTCAATAACAAAAGTTTTTCAATACTTTGTTATATACCCTTTGTTGGCAATGACACAGGTCAAACGTTTTCTGTAAGTCTTCACAAGGTTTTCACACACTGTTGCTGGTATTTTGGCCCATTCCTCCATGCAGATCTCCTCTAGAGCAGTGTTTTGGGGCTGTCGCTGGGCAACACGGACTTTCAACTCCCTCCAAAGATTTTCTATGGGGTTGAGATCTGGAGACTGGCTAGGCCACTCCAGGACCTTGAAATGCTTCTTACGAAGCCACTCCTTCGTTGCCCGGGCGGTGTGTTTGGGATCATTGTCATGCTGAAAGACCCAGCCACGTTTCATCTTCAATGCCCTTGCTGATGGAAGGAGGTTTTCACTCAAAATCTCACGATACATGGCCCCATTCATTCTTTCCTTTACATGGATCAGTCGTCCTGGTCCCTTTGCAGAAAAACAGCCCCAAAGCATGATGTTTCCACCCCCATGCTTCACAGTAGGTATGGTGTTCTTTGGATGCAACTCAGCATTCTTTGTCCTCCAAACACGACGAGTTGAGTTTTTACCAAAAAGTTCTATTTTGGTTTCATCTGACCATATGACATTCTCCCAATCCTCTTCTGGATCATCCAAATGCACTCTAGCAAACTTCAGACGGGCCTGGACATGTACTGGCTTAAGCAGGGGGACACGTCTGGCACTGCAGGATTTGAGTCTCTGGCGGCGTAGTGTGTTACTGATGGTAGGCTTTGTTACTTTGGTCCCAGCTCTCTGCAGGTCATTCACTAGGTCCCCCGTGTGGTTCTGGGATTTTTGCTCACCGTTCTTGTGATCATTTTGACCCCACGGGGTGAGATCTTGCGTGGAGCCCCAGATCGAGGGAGATTATCAATATGTCTTCCATTTCCTAATAATTGCTCCCACAGTTGATTTCTTCAAACCAAGCTGCTTACCTATTGCAGATTCAGTCTTCCCAGCCTGGTGCAGGTCTACAATTGTGTTTCTGGTGTCCTTTGACAGCTCTTTGGTCTTGGCCATAGTGGAGTTTGGAGTGTGACGGTTTGAGGTTGTGGACAGGTGTCTTTTATACTGATAACAAGTTCAAACAGGTGCCATTAATACAGGTAACGAGTGGAGGACAGAGGAGCCTCTTAAAGAAGAAGTTACAGGTCTGTGAGAGCCAGAAATCTTGCTTGTTTGTAGGTGACCAAATACTTATTTTCCACCATAATTTGCAAATAAATTCATTAAAAATCCTAAAATATAATTTTCTGGAAAAAAAAATCTCAATTTGTCTGTCATAGTTGACGTGTACCTATGATGAAAATTACAGGCCTCTCATCTTTTTAAGTGGGAGAACTTGCACAATTGGTGGCTGACTAAATACTTTTTTCCCCCACTGTATATGTAGATGGAGACTAAGTTGTCAGATAAAGACCTACAGTTAAATCAAAACCAATCTAATCAATTTCATTGTACGTCATTCAGGTGAGCAGTACTAATGAAACAGAATAAACAGAATAAAACCCTCAGGAGGTTTTAGCTGTGTGGTACTGGCACCCTCCTAGTCCTACCTTGCGTTGGTCCTCCTGCAGGGCTCCCAGCACCAGGGAGGGGGTGTTGTACTGGAGAGAAGAACACACGTAGGAGCTGTTGGTTTCCCTGATGTTCACCAGGTCTGGATGGTTACAGATCCTCTGCAGCTGCATCAGCACCTGCAGCACACTCACAAAATGACCCGTCTTCAACGCCTCCTGGGCTCTAGGGGCGGACAAAGGACAAGACATTCAGAAACAGGGCAAGTGAATTTATCATCTGCGCAACCATGCTCTGTTTATAAACAAAAAATATTCATGCATTTCTACCATTGAACCTGTGCTCAAATATTCAGTCTATGAGAATCGGACAAAATACTCTACCGATCATGCAATCAGGTTGTCCAAACATTAGGCTGAGGAACTGTGGTGTCTGGAGGCCAGACTCACCCTGGCTGAGTGAGGATATCTTCATACATGCTCTTCTGTCTGCTGGACAGGCGACACTTGATGATGTGTTCATACTTCTTAGGGAGCTGCTTCTCCACGTCCCTCTTACAGCGCCTCAGGATGAAGGGTTGGATCATCTGGAGAGAGAGAGAGAGAGAGAGAGGAGAGGAGAAAGGATGTCAGATCAATTGGTAACTAGGTATGAACAGCTATGCCCTGGTAAATGGGAATCATACTGACCACCAATGTTAAGCAAGATGTCTTCTTTAATGATGAAATACACTCATTAGGAATGAAAGAACCCTCAGATAAACAAATTCACACCACAACTAAAGCACCATCAATATTCATGATAACAGTGACTACTAACTGAAACGCTCAACACACAAGGATTAGAAAGATGGGCGTTTGGTTGTACCCCTACTGACCCTGTGTAGGCGGATGACCAGTTTGTGGCAGTAGTCCTGGTTCTGGTCTGTGCCTGGCTTGACTGGGAAGTCTGTGAAGGGTCTGGTGATGCCTGGCAGGAGGAAGTGGATCATGGTCCACAGCTCCTTCAGTGTGTTGTGTAGTGGAGTGTTGATCAGGAGGATCCTCTGCTGACTGGAACACAAGCCACACCAACACATCATTAGCTTTTGTTGTTTCTCTTAATCTCTAACAATTTAAAATGCCTGGAAAACCACAAGGTCAAACCCCATTTCAGAGTTTAGCCTTCATTTCATGCTAACTAAGCTGTCACCCAAAAGCCCTTGGCAGACCAGTGTGTGCGTGGGTGTAACCACAGTGCTACCCTAAAATAAGAGCTGCTCACTTCTTGAGAGCAAAGATGGTTTCCCAGTGATTCTCGGACATGTTTTTAATGAGCTGCACCTCATCCAGGACCAAGTTCTTCCACCTCCTTCTCAGGAAGTGGCTCTGGTCCTTCAGCAGCAGCTTGTAGGACGTCACACACACATGGAAGCTATTGGCCTCCGCCCACCACTGGAGACACATCAACAACACGACAAGTTATGGACAGACACAAATACAAACTGGAAAACAAGGGCATTTGAAATAAGCCAAGAGAAGAAAATTGACATCTTAATGGCATTGTATTCATGGGAACTGTCCATTATTTATTGTCACATTTGGTGCTGCTGTCCTGCCCAAACTCTCTCTGCTGGAATGGACTCAATCTCATGGGTCTGTCTATTGAAACAGATCATTAGTAGTTACCCTTCTCTTTGCTCTGCGTTCATGTCTGTTACCAAGGTAGAGGAGGATCTTGAAGCCAGGACACCAGCGTTTAAACTCCATCTCCCAGCTCAGCATCTTACACGTCCTCACCACAACTAGGTGGGGGCCCCAGATACCTACATAAAAAATTAATAATTAAGTCCACATACATAAATACATACACTACCAGTCAAACGTTTGGACACACCTACTCATTCAAGGGTTTTTCTTTCTTTTTACTATTTTCTACATTGTAGAATAATAGTGAAGACATCAAAACTATGAAACAACACATTTGGAATCATGTAGTAACCAAAAAAGTGTTCAACAAATAAAAATATATTTTATATTTGAGATTCTTCAAATAGCCATCCTTTGCCTTGATGACAGCTTTGCACACTCTTGGCATTCTCTCAACCAGCTTCACCTGGAATGCTTTTCCAACAGTCTTGAAGGAGTTCTCACATATGCTGAGCACTTGTTGGCTGCTTTTCCTTCACTCTGCCATCCGACTCATCCCAAACCATCTCAATTGGGTTGAGGTCGGGGGATTGTGGAGGCCAGATCATCTGATGCAGCACTCCATCATTCTCCTTCTTGGTAAAATAGCCCTTACACAGCCTGGAGGTGTGTTGGGTCATTGTCCTGTTGAAAAACAAATGATAGTCCCACTAAGCCCAAACCAGATGGGATGGCGTATCACTGCAGAATGCTGTGGTAGCCATGCTGGTTAAATGTGCCTTGAATTCTAAATAAATCACAGACAGTGTCACCAGCAAAGCACCCCCACACCATAACACCTCCCCCTCCATGCTTTACGGTGGGAACTACACATGCGGAGATCATCCGTTCACCCACACTGCGTCTCACAAAGACACAGCGGTTTGAACCAAAAATCTCAAATTTGGACTCCAGACCAAAGGACACATTTCCACCGGTCTAATGTCCATTGCTCGTGTTTCTTGGCCCAAGTAGGTCTCTTCTTATTATTGGTGTCCTTTAATACTGGTTTCTTTGCAGCAATTCGACCATGAAGGCCTGATTCACACAGTCCCCTCTGAACAGTTGATGTTGAGATGTGTCTGTGACTTAAAGTCTGTGAAGCATTTATTTGGGTTGCAATTTCTGAGGCTGGTAACTCTAATGAACTTATCCTCTGCAGCAGAGGTAACTCTGGGTCTTTCTTGAGAGCCAGTTTCATCTGTCATTTCTCTTTGCTTATTTGAGCTGTTCTTGCCATAATATGGACTTGGTCTTTTACTATCTTCTGTATACCTCCCCTACCTTGTCACATCACAACTGATTGGCTCAAACGCATTAAGAAGGAAATAAATTCCACAATTTAACTTTTAAGAAGGCACACCTGTTAATCGAAATGCATTCCAGGTGACTACCTCATGAAGCTGGTTGAGAGAATGCCAAGAGTGTGCAAAGCTGTCATCAAGGCAAAGGGTGGCTATTTGAAGAATCTCAAATATAAAATATATTTAGTTTTAACACATTTTTGGTTACTACATGATTCCATATGTGTTATGTCATAGTTTTGATGTCTTCTACAATGTAAAAAATAGTACAAATAAAGGAAAACCCTTGAATGAGTAGGTGTGTCCAAACTTTTGACTGGTAGTGTACATGTTTACATACAGAAACAAAAGCGAAGCATTGAATAAACTATTTCAGCAGTAGGTTAGATTACCCTCTTGACAGGCCAGATGGGCCAGGTAGGCCACAGTCTGCACGGTCTTGCCCAGTGCAGTCTCGTCTGCTAGGATGCCGTTGAGGTGTTTCTTGTGGAGGCTGGCTAGCCAGTCCACTCCGATCTGCTGGTAATCACGCAGTGATCCGTGCAGCAGAAAAGGAGCCTGGCTGCGGACCTGAGATACATAGCAAAGGGTCATAATGATTCCCTGTTTGTACATAGTAACCCACTAACTGTCCTCTTAACTGTAGATTTTATTTATAAGCAATTTTGTTATTTAATTAATCTTGCCAAATTCCTCTCATTTTCAAACTGGTTACATGACACCCGATAGTAATCCACTGGGTCAGTGTGAGGCTGAGACGTGAGGACTCACAGAAGAGGTGGTCCTGGCACTGCCCTTGGGTAGGATGAGTTCTGTGGCGGCTGCCACCTCTGCTATGTCTTTCCTAGGCTTCCCGTCAGCACCAGGGGGGCAGGCCTTGTCAGAACCTCGATACTGGTCCACACTGAGCAGAGAGTCTATCACTACAGCCTCGTGGGGGCTGTCCAGAGGGGACTCCATATCTGAGATGGAACAATAACCACATCAGCACCACAGAGAGAACACCACCAGTCTACAAATCCTTTTGCTTTTAAACTAATCATCTTGGCATATCAACGATCACAAGGCACCGAGCTAGACTGGTACACAGAGATGGAGTTTACATGTAGAGTTTAGGTGTACCTTCAGTCTCATCCCGGTCCTCCTCATCACTCGGTGTGGCAGGCTGGGGCCAGTCAAAGTTGTCAGCGTAAGCACCAGCATACTGCTTCACCAACACATCCAGAGGCATCTCAGCTGAGAACGGTAGAAGACAAAGAGGAAAGGCTCAGTATAGACAAAACCTAAGGGACACTTTCAAACATGACATGTTTTAATGAAAATACCATAAAATAAAGGTAATCGGGCAAAATCCATCATTAGTTATAGTGAGAAAAAGGTGTCATGCTGACCATCTATAGCCAGATCTGCCAACTCTGCCTTCTGATCAGCTAGCACCTCCATGGCCTCCTGCTCCTCTATGGTGCTCTCCTCATCCTGAACTGTAAGAGAGAACACAGCCATAGACAAGTTACAGGATAGTAAACAAGTGTTAAATGCAGGACCGCACCTGTTGGCACCCACCTGCTCAAAGCATAAACAAGATGACATCTATACTGAACAAAAATATAAATGCAACTTGCAACAATTTCAACGATCTTACTGAGTTACAGTTCAAATAAGGAAATCAGCCAATTGAAATAAATAAATTAGGCCCTAATCTACGGATTTCACATGACTGGGCAGGGGTGCAGCCACTGGGGAGCCAGGCCCAGCCAATCAGAATGAGTTTTTCCCCACAAAAGGGCTTTATTACAGACAGAAATACTCTCCTCAGTTTCATCAACTGTCTGGGTGGATGGTACCAGACGATCCCGCAGGTGAAGAAGCCGGATGTGGAGGTCCTGGGCTGGCGTGGTTACACGTGGTCTGCGGTTGTGAAGCTGGTTGGACGTACTGGCAAATTCTCTAAAACGACGTTGGAGGAGGCGGCTTATCTGGCAACAGCTCTGGTGGACATTCCTGCAGTCAGCATGCCAATTGCACGCTCCCTCAAAACTTGAGACATCTGTGGCATTGTGTTGTGTGACAAAACTGCACATTTTAGAGTGTCCTTTAATTGTCCCCAGCACAAGGTGCACCTGTGTAATGATCATGCTGTTTAATCAGCTTCTTGATATGCCACACCTGTCAGGTGGATGGATTATCTTGGCAAAGGAGAAACACTCACAAACAGGGATGTAAACAAATTTGAGAGAATAAGCTTTTTGTGCGTATGGACAATTTCTGGGATCTTTTATTTCAGCTCATGAAACATGGGACCAACACTTTACATGTTGCGTTTATATTTTTGTTCAGTATATTTTGGAAAAATACCTTCTTCAGCCAATGAAGTGCTGGACTTTCGCTTCCTTGTTGACATAGTGGGTTCCTGTGAATAATATACATTTAAATAAGTGTCATGCCACACACAAAACATATTAGGCTATGTGTCTGGCCAATTTGGACAACAAGAGCCAGTAAGTCTATGAAGCACCTACGTCTTTTTCAGCTTTCTCTGTTGTCGACTGAGCAGGTTTAACATCCTGTCCTGTGACACAAGGAATAACCAATATATGAAAGTTAGCTTGTTGTAAAACCATTTCAAAAGGCTCTTGAATAAACTCTTACCCTTACTCGATGCTCTCTGCAGGCTGAGCGTTTTCAGTCTCTTCTCATAAATCTCAAACTGTAGTTTAATTTCCACAACCTGAGAGAAACCAAATGGAACAAATTAACTAGGATGGACAGAGTGGATCACACTACTGATCTATTGAAATTAATAACGACAACAATGGAACAGTTTTCACATCAAGAGAAACTTACCTGCTCAATGTTGGACCAGAAGAACTCCACCTCTCTGGCGATGGTGCTTGCGATGTGACGAAGCCGCAGTTCTTCCTCTTTCTTGAACTTCTCTTCCATTTTATTCTGCTCGTCATGGTAACGGGAACAGGTGCGAACCAGCTGGGGAATGGGGAATATATGTAATATGCAGTTATGATCGTGTACTGAAATCTTAACAATGACAGTACTGCAGTAACATTACACCAAGAGGACTACGGCATCATACCTTCTTGGCAGCAGCCATCTTCCACCTCCTCTCCTGGGCAAAGTCAGCTGCCATCCACTGCATCTCCTCCAGTAGGTAGTCCCAGTGGGACTTGGACCGAGAAGATTCCATTAGCTTGGGCAGCCTGCTGGCTGACCACTGGCCCTCTTTCCTCAGCTCAGAGATACGCTGGTGCACCTGGCTCTCCTGGGGGGGTCAGAGGTCACATTATGAGCAGTCTGAACACTGAAGCACCTGATCAGTCTGAACACAAAAGCACCTTAACAGTATGAAATGCAGTCTGAACACAAAAGCACCTGAACATTATGAAATGCAGTCTGAACACAAAAGCACCTGAACAGTATGAAATGCAGTCTGAACACAAAAGCTCTTGCAGAGTCATAGGTTTTTCTGAAACAACTCACCAGTTTGGTCTGCTCAGCTTGTTTGTCCTGTGAGCTCCCTTCTGATGACTGCATACCCGAGCCCTGACCAAAGCCACCCATTTTGACAGTGGAGGTGCCGTTGGGCCCGGCCAATTTGGACTGTGTGGCAGGGGTGATGTTGGACCCAGGAGGGCGGAGGGGGCTAATGGTGTGGGGGGAGGGGAGCGAGTTGGGGACATTGAGGGGGGCAGGAGACATGGAGGGGTTGGACAGGGAGTTGATCATCTTTCTTTGGCCAGGTTGGTTGGAGTCTGCTCCAGGACGAGCAAGAGCCACAGTCTGATCAAGGGAGGAGAAAGAGAAGGCAAACTGTTAATATACAAACCGATGAACACAACCAAAAACATGCAATGTTTGGAAGTTATCCTTTAGAGACTCACCACCTGTCCTGGCTGCAGCATGGGCTGGGGCTGCTGTAGCTGCTGAGCCTGCATCTGGAGGTGAAGGCCAGACTGCATCTGCTGCTGGAGCTGGACCTGGAGTTGTGTGTGGGGGTTTACTGGAGCCATGATGGGGCCGGCCCCCTGCACCTTCACCTGGGCCTGGAGCAGGTTGGCGGCCTGGGCTGAGCTCTCCACCAGCTGTGACTGCTGAGAGAGAGCCATTGGTAGGCCTGCCATGGGGAGGGCGCCCTGGGGCAGGCGACCTGGCAGCTGGGGGGGAGGGGTGTGCAGGCTGGCAGCGTTCTGCACCGGAGGCCCTTTAGACGGGTCATACAGCGGCTGGTTCTGCTTCTGCCCGGGGATCTGAACCGACTGTGGGTTGGGGGGCATCCCGCCTGGAGCACAGTAACCAAGTCATAGGGAAAACAAAGGAAAGGAGTAGAGAGAGGGAAAGGATAACAACATGTGGCTGTGAGTTACTGTTGCTCTGTGGTTCCTCCAAGCGTTGCCCTGTCCATACCAATCCTGCTCTCTCTAAAATAACGGCCTTTTAAAATACTATACTCTGCACCGGACTGAGATTCAGGTGAGCACTGAAGGGGGACAGAGGGATTGAGCAGTACTCAGGCCAGAGGGCCTTTTGTTCCTCATTCTTAAGCCAATATATTTCAGTAATGACTGAAAGTGATCAGATTATAAAATGATAGTGTTTACAGCTCCATCTAAGGTACCAGCTACCCAGAACGTCTGAATTGGATGTACTATGAGTCAACAGCAGTGTATTTCTTACTGTTGACGAAGAAAGAAATTCATGAAAATTATAAAGCACAATGATTACAGAAGAAACAAATCAATGTGATCATCTACATGTCCTTCAAATAAAATACTATTTTTATTAATGCAAAAATAAAAACATCATCTTTACAATGTTAAGAGAAGAGAATGTGATTAAAACAGCAAAACTAATCATGCATAAACAGTTTCAGCAGAGGGACTGAGAAGAAAGGATTCAAAATGAAATGAAACAGAAAATATTGAAAATAAAAAACAGAGGGGAAGAAAAAAAAAGGGGGGAAAAGTGAGCAATCACCATCATAAAAACACCATATGTTCAGCATGCATGAAGCAATGTCATGTCTAGCTAGAATGCTGGCATATATTTGCCTCTAGTTTTGTTGAGCACAGAACATAACAAAGCAAAGGAGTGAGCAGGAGGACACACATGAGATCTTGCAGACAGCAGGGCTGAGCGGAGCAGTGCACACAGACTAAGCAGCACCTGTCTTACCTCCCTGACCATCACTCCCATCATCCCCTAGACCACATCAACACCTGGCCCTGACAGACACCACCACACCACGCCAACCTGTGACATGTCATGACTGCACCATGCTTCCTCCACATGGCTCCCCTCCTTCCTACTACGACTGGGGGAAAGAGGCCAAGTGAGAACGGTATGCCATGGAAACAGATGGGGGAAACCAACAAAGGATGAGCATGGTGGAACAAGAAAAGGAAACAACGGATGCTTTTGATGACTGATAACTGAATTTAGGATTGAAATGCATTGTGAACCCATGTTGACAATGCAATGGTGGCCAACGGAGAGGGAGGGGGGTGCAGGAGACGGAGGGATGAGATTGATGAGTATAAAAAAGGAAGAACAAAAAAGCAATCATCGAATGAGCAAACATGCCCCACTGGAAATATATATATTTTTTTTTTCCCAGGGTTCCTCCTTTCTCACTTTCCGTGATCCGCTTGCGAATTAGCCCAAGCTCCAACGGCACAGGAAAGTCCGTCCAAACAGAGACGATCGGGAAGAACAAATTTGGGAAAAGAAACGGATGGAGACGGATGATCAATAAAACATAAAAGTCAAAACATAAGACATGGCATCTTCCCAGTGAGGCTACTCCTTTCTTCAGACTTTTTTCCCCTTGGTCTAGAGAGAGAGAGTGTGCTGGGAGAGCTAAGCCTGAACTTCCTGAGGCCTGCTGGGGTGTCTGTCCAGCGGATGGATGAAGATCGCTTTGTTGATGCTGCTTTGAGGTTTCGTTGGAGACGATGGGACGTTGTTGGAATTCAGTTTGTCTCGTTGAATTGAGGACACGTCCAGCAGCATCGAACAGAACACATAACGACCTGGTAGTAGCACTCCTACCTTGCGCTGTCGGCATAAGCTGCTGGAGTGGAACGCCAGCTGATCCTAAAGCACCAGGATGCTGGAAAATCATTCCATGGCGACCAACTTCAATCCGGGACCTCTTAGCCTGATCTGGGATTTAAAACACACAATACCCTCATAACGGGAAAAAGACACTCGGCACACAGCAATGACTTTCTGTACACCATACAGACCACCTCTCCTTCCTCGGGTTAAGACTTCTACACACAGCGCTAGTAGAAGATGCCAAATATCTAAAAGCAGAAGCAATTTGAGGTAAGAAAACAAAACAAAAAAACTAACAAAAAGAACGAAAAGGGGGAGGAAACAAACCAACAAAAGAGCCACGGGATTGTGCTGTCCTTGCCCTACCTGCGTGTGCCATTGCCTGTTGCCTCTTAAAGGCATCCATGTCCCCTGGGTTTGTCATGCTGCCAGATGCTCCAAGGTGCACCTGAAGAGACATATCCAAGTGTTAACAAGAGCTTGGATACAAGAGATCAAAAAGGAAACATTTAAAAGAGACAAAGACAAATCCATTCCATCTTCTCTGTGTAGGGGTTGCAGTCATTTGGTGCCCCACCACCGTTCTTCACCTGGAACTGCTGCTGGGAAGAGAATGCTGCTGAAACATTGGGTGGAAGCTGTGTAGCTATGGCAACTGGTGTCCCCGCCTGTCCATCCTTTCCAGTGACAACCTTGACCTGGGAGTGGCACAGAGATTTGAACTAGATTCATGTAGCCTAAACACAGGATAACAAGTTGAGGGATTCAGAATATAGGACTATAAGACACAATAAAACAAGATATCAATCAATTCTGTAACAGTACCTCATCATTGATGACCTCAGACTGCTCCTCCTCTTCCTCTTCCTCCTCAAGGTCCAGGTCGTTCTGCCTCAGGTAAGTGAAAAGGGGGACGCAGGGCTTCTTCTTGAAAGCCAAATAGTCCATCATGTTCCCCTGGAGGTGCTGGAGGAAGAACAGCTCAATCAGGTAGTCTTTGAAGACCTCCTTCAGACCCTCCATCTTCTTAGTGTGGTGCTCCAGACACTGCTTCCTCAGCTGGGCCACTTCTGGGTTGGTGGGTGCAATCTCCTCCAGCTTTTTGGGTATCTGTTTCTTGATGGAGCCCATGCTCATGCCGGTAGGGGTGAGGGGGGGATTGGGGATGCCTTGGGGAGGGTTAGTGAGGGAAGGGCTGGAGGGAGGAATGGTGGAAGGCATACTGAAAGACGTTGTGGCAGCTGTCCCCACTCCAGCTACCACACCCAAAGTCTTCTCAAATATCATGGGACGCGCCAGCTGCCCCTGGATAATACTGCTGATTTGAGGTGGCAGGTTGGAAGTGGTGATGTGGCCTGGGCTCGCCAGTGTGGGCAGAGCAGTGCCACTGACCACAGGACTCTGAGGTCCAAGGTGGTGGATGGTGCCTCCAGTCTGTGAATGGGGCTGTGACAGCCTGCGTTCCCGCACAGAGCCTGGTGCCCCTGGGGAGGACAGCTGCAACTGCACCTGCCCAGCAGTGGTTGGAGCTAGCTGCGTCAACCCTGTCCCCTCTTGGTAAACAAAGTGCCCACTTCCAGACGGGCTGCCAAGACTGATTTGTCTCACAAGCATGCCAGTATCAACAAAACGTGTTGGGCTCTGTCCACACACACTCAGTCCTGTTCCGGGTGCCCCAGGTCGCTGGAGGGGTACTGGGTTGTGCTGGGTGGGACTTTGGGGCTGCATGGATTGGGGTAGGGGTGAGGTGACTTGGATATAGGAGGACGGGGCATGCTCAAACCTCCATTGCGGAGCTGTGTGCTGGAAGCCGGGAGAGCCTGGGTTCTGGAGGGGGAGCGGGGTTAGGGTGATCTGTTGGTTGCCGGTCACCATTTGACTGACATTTTGTAAGGTGATGTTCATGTTCTGGCTTGTGACAGGGCTGCGGCTCATGATTATCTGGTAGTTGGGTGACTGGGGGGCTGAAGGGCTGGCTGCAGATGCAAACGTGGTCACAGGTGATTGTGGGTGGTTGGCTGTTGCCTGCTGTTGAGTAACTGCCATGGTCTGCTGCTGCTGGTCTTCTGCTTCAGATCCAGTGGTGGACTTGGATCTCTGAAGTTGCCGTTGCACATGCTGTTGTCCACTCCCATGGTGCATTGCGTAACACTGTTACTTTATGGGAAACAATACCTAGAGAGGGTAGACATTCTCATCAAATCGTTTAGCCAATATTGGTTTCATTTTATATGCTGAAGACATGATGGTCAAAACTATGCAAATATGTATCATTCAATCAAACATTGACATATTGTTGTATCAATGACAACCATTAATAATTATGTACATAATAACTGTAGCTATTTGATGCTGTAACATAATTTTTCATTTTGACAGCTGTCGCAAAGATCAGTGAATTCATTGCTTGGCAAAGGTAGCCTTTCATGAATGAGTTCCATCATGCAAGCTAGCTAGCTAGTTATATTTGACGTGTTTTATTTGGTCAAGATATAAAGTAAGACATTCACTGATAGAGACGCAGATGAGCATCTTGAGTGCCAGCAATAGCGTAGCTAACTTACTAGTTAGGTAACGTTAGTTAGCTTACTAACCATGTTGTTTGCAGAATTTAACAGACAATGTAACGATACTATTTGAACTTGCTAACGTTAGCTAGCTAAGTAATAATAGCTGCCTAACTATTTCATGTTATGTAGCTAGCTAGCTAACACCCCCATCATAACCAGCAGCATTATAAACAATTAGGCTGCCTATCTTTTCAAATGAGCTGTAGCTACAGTAGCTAGCTAAACTATGCTTATGTTGTTGCACGGCCTTGTCCTAGCTCAGATGTGATAGCGCTAGCTAATGCTACGGTAGAGCATTATATTAGATAACTATGCAACGTTGACCATGCATGGATGAAATGTGTATTTACGTTGCTTACAAAAAGCTTTTTTTGAGTCAACTAGCTAAATATCCAAATACTTGGCACGCGTAAGGCCGATATTCCGCTCCTTCCCTCCGAAACCGTGATACTAGCTCGCGCTATCTAATATGTTTGTCGCTGGGTAAATAGACATCACCGGAACTAGCTACTTACAGCAAATACAACTCACGTTGTAGTCTCATCAACCAAAAAGTATTCTTTAAAAACAAAGAAAAATGTATGAAATGTAAATACTGCTATACGGAAATATTACATGTAATGTTTTGGACATATTTCATTCTGAAACATGGCGGTGGCCACCTTATATTTTTCAAGGTTAGTGCTATCAGGGATCCTTGGGACGTCACCACTCTAAACCTTAACCCCTAACCTTAGACTAACCTTTACCATAAGCCTAACCCAGGGATCATCAACTAGATTCAGGCGGGAGCCGATGTTTTCTTGAGCGGATGCTCGGGGGTGGAACATAATTACAAATAATTTGTAGATTGCAAATTGACCGCAAGAAGCCCAAACATGTATAATATTTAAAACCTTGCTTACATTTGTACACAATCATGTGTCTCTCTATTATGTGTGGGAATACTTGGGAACAGATTTCCGCAATTAAAATCACTTGGAGCTGATTTCCTGGTGTTTTTACAATATGTTATGTACAACAATTAAATAAAATACAATTGGTGCTCATAAAACTTGGGGGGGGGGGCAAATTCGGCCCGTGGGCCACTAGTTGGGGTACCCTGCCTTAACCGTTTTAAACGTCAACTTCAATAGCGACACGTCAGGGTCGGTCGTCCCGAGGAAATCATTATAGCTTTTTCAATCGATTCTTTGAAGAACCGGAAGCAGTTCCGTTTCAAACGACGTGAACGACCCTGGACCAAGGCTGATTGACAAGAATGTAAACCAATCAACAGTTTTAAACAAAATACAAACCTCTGTGCCCCTCAACAGAGAGTACAGGCACAGAGAGTACAGGCGCTTTCTAGTATGGGCGCTTTGCACTCAATAAAAATGTGCTTATTCTAAGGTTCTTCAAAAAACCTAGCTATAGCCAATTGAGTATCTCTCATGCTACTTTATAATAGTGAGTGTTTATATTCTTTATTCCCTAAAACCCAACTGTGAAACCTTTCTATGAGTCACACAATAACACTTAGTCATGAGCTTCGACTATTCAAAATATTGTAGTAGCTTTTACCTCTATCTCTACCTACTAATGCCTCACATCAAAACATGCCTCCTCTATACTGTAGATCTGCATTCGGTCAAATGTTCTGCGGAGCAGCTGGCGTGTGTAGGCTAGAGGACAACAGAAACATCCCACATAATGTAACATATATTTTAATCACTCTTCTTACACAATATTCTCATATGAAACTGATTTTGGCAGCTTGGTTTTGGTGAACAAGAATAACATACAGTCAAAATAATTACTCAATATATTTACAAAGACATTTAATATTCAAAAGGTGCCTAGTCAAAATGTATTTCGGAAAGCTGATACCATTTTCATTTAATGTAAAAACAGAAATAGGTCAATTCAAATGTATAGCCACAAGGCGGTCATAAAAAACTAAATATTAAAACCAACCACTGCACAAAAAACAAAACCCCCAGAATTATACAAAATCTTACTAAAAATATAAAATACAGGACAGGTTTTCTGTACTGAAGTTTAACCTATTTCAGCCATTTCTTTGCCTCATCCACACGCCTATACATTGCTGATCATTCACTAATATTTGTGCAAAAACAGACAAAAGCATGCAGATCAATATGTAAAATGACCATCTTGCTGGGCACACTGAGAAAGAGTGCCTTGATGAGTTGACACTCTTTACAAAAGATTAAGATCTCTACAATACAGTAATGACATTATCTGACAAGTTCCTAACAGTTTATGAATAAGTCTATCATAAATATATTTGTGCTACAGTGGCTTGTCAAAAACGTACACATTGCTAAAAGCAGTAAAAAAAAAAGACAATAATACTTCTGCTACAAATTGGCAATACTTGGTCTTCACTTTCTCTTACACAACTTTCCAACTCCTGAAAATGATGCATGTTTTTGCCTCTAGTTTAAAGCTGCAGTATGTCACTTTTTGGGCGAAGACCAAATTCACATAGAAATATGTGTTATAGATCTGTCTGGCATTCTCATTGAAAACAAGTCTAATAAGCAGTAGATCTGTTCTATGTGCGCTATTTCTATGCTTCTCGTTCATAAGTTTATTTTTTGCATCTTTTATTTTGGTTTTGTACATCAGTCTCAAACAGCTGAAAATACAATATTTTTGGTTATGGAAAATATATTTCACAGCGTTTTAGATGGTACAATGATTCTCTACACTATACTTGCTTGTTTTGTCACATAAACTGAAAAGAAATTGCAACCAGGAAATGGTAGAGCGATTTCTGCATAATGCATCTTTAAATATAACACCAGCTGGTACCAAAGATCTTTTCAGAATTCCCTTCTATTATTGAGAGCATTAAATGTTACTCTCAAACATCTATTATTCTCAAACAACTATTTCAAGTAGAAATCTGTACATTTGAGATGAAAATAATCACTCGATCCAGTGAGGCCTGATAAATCCAGTAGATTAACAGTAACATACTACTGGCCTGGCATAACATTCTGTAGCATGAAACACAACCACAACACACACTGCTCTCAGAGTGGAGTCAGACAGAACCAACCCCACTCCTCTTCTCCTCTCTTCTGGTACTAAAAATGTTTAGTGCTAGGCTGTGGGTTGAGAGCAGCTATATCAGTGGTCTTGTTACTAAGCATTTTCAGTTCAAAGTGCTTTTGTGTGTCAACAGTCCGAGGAGCTCCATCTTCACTGAGGACAGAGGGATATCAGAGGGACATCAGAGGTCTGGAGGTGCTCTAACCATGCCCGGAGGCTCAGCTAATATTGTAGCTATAGTCCAAAAGCCTTAAGCTCAATCACACTGTGGAGTCTGCAGAGCAGAAAGGAGGCGTCTCTCAATACACTGTTTACCTAAGACCAAAACAAAGGGAGAAACACAGTGAGATGTGTGTGTGTGTGTGTGTGCATATATGAAAAATGTATGCACTCACTAAAACTGTAAGTCGCTCTGGATAAGAGCGTCTGCTAAATTACTAAAATGTACATGTAAAATATATGGGCACGTGTGTGTGTGTGCGTGTGTATCTATAAGCTACTTACATTTACTTATGTTGTCGATGTCTGCCTGCTCTGTGATGGTAAGGGACAGACCCTCCATGAGCAGAAGGGCTTTATGGTATCTCTGGATGGGCGCCTGGCCACGGTGAAACATCTCATCTAGCGCTGCTGACTGCACCTGGAAAACAGCAACACACACACTCAGCTATTAACATTGCTCTTACAATATTATAACCACATCATAAATACTGCAGTAAAAGTAATGTCGTAAAATGATATTTACTCTATCTACTATCCATCGTATATCATACAATATGAGAGAGAGCACAGAGATGTACAGTACTGTGCAGTGAGAGAGAGGAGGCCTTACCATGGTCACAGTGTGACTGTAGATGAGTTTCTCTGCAGTGATGTTGTTCATGTGGTCCATCAGTCTCTGCTTGTTGAGGAGGAAGCTCTGCAGGCGGGCGTTGAGGGACCGACAGGACGTCACACTGCTCTTATACAGCTCATTCATCTTCTTCACCACTACATACAGGATAAATGATTTAATTCAATACACTTTATAAAGCCTACATAACATGATCATTAACCTCCTACAGTCTAAGCCCTGTCTAAGCCGGGGGGTGGGTTCTACTAAGCTAACATATGGAATTGTTTGAAGAAGGTCACACCAAGGATCATTTAGCTATTTGATTTTTAATTTTAAGACCCCTTGAAGTGTCCCAAAAAAAAAATGAAATAATAATTTGTTGAAACACTGAATTTGCCCTTACTGCTATTAAACCATACAAATGCATTGAATAACAGATTCACTAAATGGAACAACAGATAGTCAAAAAAAATCGAAAGGAAGTTTATTCTGAAGTCTCTGTCCTATAAATGAGAAACAATTTGGGGACATGTACAGTGCATTCCGAAAGTATTCAGACCCCTTCACTTTTTCCACATTTTGTTACGTTACAGCCTTATTCTAAAATGTATTAAATACAATTTCCCCCTCATAAATCTACACACAATACCAGATAATGACAAAGTGAAAACAGATTTTTAGGAATGTTTGCAAATTTATGAAAAACTTAAAACAGAAATATCTTATTTACATACAGTACCAGTCAAAAATTTGGACACACCTACTCATTCCAGGGTTTTTCTTTATTTTTTTACTATTTTCTACATTGTAGAATAATAGTGAAGACATCAAAACTATTAAATAACACATATGTAATCATGTAGTAACCCAAAAAGTATTAAACAAATTTAAATATATTTTATATTTGAGATTCTTCAAATAGCCACCCTTTGCCTTGATGACAGCTTTGCACACTCTTGGCATTCTCTCAACCAGCTTCATCTGGGATGCTTTTCCAACAGTCTTGAAGGAGTTCCCGCATATGCTGAGCACTTGTTGGCCGCTTTTCCTTCACTATGCGGTCCGACTCATCCCAAACCATCTCAATTGGGTTGAGGTCGGGGGATTATGGAGGCCAGGTCATCTGATGCAGCCCTCCATCACTCTCCTTCTTGGTGAAATAGCCCTTACACAGCCTGGAGGTGTGTTGGGTCATTGTCCTGTTGAAAAACAAATGAAAGTCCCACTAAGCCCAAACCAGATGGGATGGCGTATCGCTGGTTAAGTGTGCCTTGAATTCTAAATACATCACAGACAGTGACTCCAGACCAAAGGAGAAATTTACACCGGTCTAATGTCCATTGCTTGTGTTTCTTGGCCCAAGCAAGTCTCGTCTTCTTATTGGTGTCCTTTAGTAGTGGTTTCTTTGCAGCAATTCGACCATGAAGGCCTGATTCACACAGTCTCCTCTGAACAGTTGATGTTGAGATGTGTCTGTTACTTGAACTCTGTGAAGCATTTATTTGGGCTGCAATTTCTGAGGCTGGTAACTCTAATGAACTTATCCTCTGCAGCAGAGGTAACTCTGGGTCTTCCATTCCTGTGGCGGTCCTCATGAGAGCCAGTTTCATCATAGCGCTTGATGGTTTTTGCGACAGCACTTGAAGAAACTTTCAAAGTTCTTGAAATGTTCCATATTGACTGACCTTCATGTCTTAAAGTAATGATGGACTGTCGTTTCTCTTTGCTTATTTGAGCTGTTCTTGCCATAATATGGACTTGGTCTTTTTCCAAATAGGGCTATCTTCTGTATACTCCTCCTACCTTGTCACAACACTGATTGGCTCAAACGCATTAAGGAAAGAAATTCCACATATTAACTTTTAACAAGGCACACCTGTTAATTGAAATGTATTCCAGGTGACTACCTAATGAAGCTGGTTGAGAGAATGCCAAGAGTGTGCAAAGCTGTCATCAAGGCAAAGGGTGGCTATTTGATACCAAATATAACATATTTTTTGATTTGTTTAACACTTTTTTAGTTACTACATGATTACTACATAGTTTTGTTGTCTTCATTACTATTCTACAATGTAAAAAATAGTAAAACTAAAGAAAAACCCTTGAATGAGTAGGTGTGTCCAAACTTTTGACTGGTAGTGTCAGTATTCAGACCCTGTGCTATGAGACTCGAAATTGAGCTCAGGTGCATCCTGTTTCCATTAATCATCCTTGAGATGTCTCTACAACTTGATTGGAGTCCACCTGTGGTAAATTCTATTGATTGGACATGATTTGGAAAGGCACACACCTGTCTATATAAGGTCCCACGGTTGACAGTATATGTCAGAGCAAAAATGAAGCCATGAGGTCGAAGGAATTGTCCGTAGAGCTCCGAGACAGGATTGTGCCGAGGCACAGATCTGGGGAAGGGTACCAAAGAATTGTGCAGCATTGAAGGTCCCCAAGAACACATTGGTCTCCATCATTCTTAAATGGAAGAAGTTTGGAACCACCAAGACTCTTCCTAGAGCTGGCTGCCTGGCCAAACTGAGCAATCGGGTGAGAAGGGCCTTGGTCAGGGAGGTGACCAAGAACCCGATGGTCACTCTGACAGAGCTCCAGAGTTCCTCTGTGGAGATGGGAGAAACTTCCAGAAGGACAACCATCTCTGCAGCACTCCACCAATCAGGCCTTTATGGTAGAGCGGCCAGACGGAAGCCACTCCTCAGTAAAAGGCACATGACAGCCCGCTTGGAGTTTGCCAAAAGGCACCTAAAGGACTCTCAGACCATGAGAAACAAGATTCTCTGGTCTGATGAAACCAAGATTGAACTCTTTGGCCTTAATGCCAAGTGTCACGTCTGGAGGACACCTGACACCATCCCTACGGTGAAGCATGGTGGTGGCAGCATCATGCTGTAGGGATGTTTTTCAGCGGCAGGGACTGGGAGACTAGTCAGGATCGAGGGAAAGATGAATGGAGCAAAGTACAGAGAGATCATTGATGAAAACCTGCTCCAGAGTGCTCAGGACCTCAGACTGGGGCAAAAGTTCACCTTCCAACAGGACAACGACCCTAAGCACACAGCCAAGACAACGCAGTAGTGGCTTCGGGTCAAGTCTCTGAATGTTCTTGAGTGGCTCAGCCAGAGACTGGACTTGAACCCGATTTAACATATCTGGAGAGACATGAAAATAGCTGTGCAGCGATGCTCCCCATCCAACCTGACAGAGCTTGAGAGGATCTGCAGAGAAGAATGTGAGAAACTCCCCAAATACAGGTATGCCCAAGAAGACTTGAGGCTGTAATCACTGCCAAAGGTGCTTCAACAAAGTACTGAGTAAAGGGTCTGAATACTTATGCAAATGTGATATTTCATTTTTGTATTTTTATAACTGTGTACATTTTTTTACAAAAAAAACAATTTACTCCATTTTAGATTAAGGCTGTAACCTAACAAAATGTGGAAAAAGTGAAGGGGTCTGAATACTTTGCAAATGCACTGTATTTAACCCATTATTTTTGGCACTGAACTATTTCCATACATACTTCCATGAATTTTTTTAACTGGTAGCAGGGGACCTTCAGACGAGTCTCGTGAGGCTTGTGGGTGCCCTATAGCACAGCAACCGACATGATCGTGTTCGGGAGAGACTCACCTTTCCACAGAGGGGTTATATTAGTGTGTAGCCCAAACTGTTCGGACGCTACAGATAGAAGTTGGAAGATTGGCTGTACCGACTTCAGAAGAGTCCCAAGACCCTTGTATGTGACGTAGAGCAAAATGGAGAACACCATCGTGTTCGTGAGTCTCATCTTTCCAATAGTCTGTAGGCCAAACCGTTCGGACCCTACAGACGTTTTCATGAGAAAACTGCTTTTCTGGATGTCTCATAGTCTGACAAACACCGCTCTAGCTCTGTAGATGCGGAAGTGCGACATCTGCGGATGCGGTGGATCCAGACACATCCAATGCAAAAACCCCAGATATCTCTACCTTAAACGAACAGATTTTGTTTGTTTTATTATGCTAATTATAGTTCAACAGGGCTGCAGAAATCGACTCGAGGGATTAACAGGATTTAATGACAATTTATTCTGCACATATCAATTAGAAGAGGAATGTGGTCCCATGTCTCACCTTGCTTGACTGTAGAGGAGGGGAAGAGTCTGCCTTCTCTGATGTCCTCCATAGCAGTGTGTAATGCAGACGACAGAAATTCTGCAGCCTTCATGTACAGCACCAACTGCTCTGCATAGCTGTGATACACACATCGAGAATACCAACGTTAACATGTACACAAATATTATTCCCCAAAATAAAATAAATACATCTTAAAGTACTAAAGATACATCATTATGCTGTGATTTCTTAAAATTAGGTCAAATTTAAAGCTCAGGGAATCAATAACAGAGATGCATCCCCTCACCCCCACTCCCGACTTAGAAGACTGATCTGATCAGCCACCAGGCTTTGCTGCAGGAAGGACACATCAGGAGCGTCCCCACTGGTCTCGCTCTCAAGTTCAGTGTCTTTAGAACTGGCTATCTCCATGACACAGTGGACAAAGGCCAGAGTGAAGCGCAGGTTCCTCAGGCCATCCGTATGCCACTGCTGTGATGGAGAGACAGAAAGGTTAGCTGAAAGGATAGCATTGTGTCAACTGTCTAGGTTCTAGTTTCTGGCAATGTGCAAACTGTGTATGTGTTCAAAATCTATTAACAATAACTCAGTGATGAATCCATTCATGTACAGAGACCTAATATATTATAAAGGAGTGTTTATGTGTTTACCCCCATCAGTGTCTCCTCTGGGAGCTCTGGAGGGTCAAAATCTATGGCCCTGTCTGGGCTGGCTGTCATGGGGTTGGTTAAGTGCTGGTAGTTAGGTACATCTCTATGGGTTCCGCTGCTGATTGACCAGGCTGGGCTGACATAGCTGGGGGAACCCACTGCTTAAGAGGAAATATCAAATATGAAAATGTTATTTAATAGCATTTTCAAGCATTTCTCCCTCTCTGCACATTCCATTACATAGACCCTGATACCACGCTGAAATTATGAATGTCTAATCAGACTCTACTGATCTAGTATGAGAACTAAATAAGAAACACTTCTAGTCGTCCTTAGATAGTTTTAGAGCCCTATATACCTGAGAACGTCCTGGTAGTATTTGGTGGAGTCCCGGTGTTTCTTCTGGATGGGGATCCCCCAGTGAACGCGACTGAGCTGGGACTGCCTGAGGCTGAGGATCCTGCAACCCTCAAAGCACCACTAGTTGGAGCTGTAGGAACACATCAGGGGGAACTGGCGTCAACTGGCTGAACTGGCATGGACATTGACCATGAACCTCCAATGCAAATGTATGGTCCTATACCCACTAACTTGCAGTCAGCAACATTTATCAAACATTTACTTTTCTTGTCAAGCCTCACATAGCTTATAGATAAGGCTTGTCCTGGATATATTAAGACCCCACCTAATATACAGTGGGGAGAACAAGTATTTGATACACTGCCGATTTTGCAGGTTTTCCTACTTACAAAGCATGTAGAGGTCTGTAATTTTTATCATAGGTACACTTCAACTGTGAGAGACGGAATCTAAAACAAAAATCCAGAAAATCACATTGTATGATTTTTAAGTAATTAATTTGCATTTTATTGCATGACATAAGTATTTGATACATCAGAAAAGCAGAACTTAATATTTGGTACAGAAACCTTTGTTTGCATTTACAGAGATCATACTTTTCCTGTAGGTCTTGACCAGGTTTTCACACACTGCAGCAGGGATTTTGGCCCACTCCTCCTTACAGACCTTCTCCAGATCCTTCAGGTTTCGGGGCTGTCGCTGGGCAATACAGACTTTCAGCTCCCTCCAAAGATTTTCTATTGGGTTCAGGTCTGGAGACTGGCTAGGCCACTCCAGGACCTTGAGATGCTTCTTACGGAGCCACTCCTTAGTTGCCCTGGCTGTGTGTTTCGGGTCGTTGTCATGCTGGAAGACCCAGCCACGACCCATCTTCAATGCTCTTACTGAGGGAAGGAGGTTGTTGGCCAAGATCTCGCGATACATGGCCCCATCCATCCTCCCCTCAATACGGTGCAGTCGTCCTGTCCCCTTTGCAGAAAAGCATCCCCAAAGAATGATGTTTCCACCTCCATGCTTCACGGTTGGGATGGTGTTCTTGGGGTTGTACTCATCCTTCTTCTTCCTCCAAACACGGCGAGTGGAGTTTAGACCAAAAAGCTATATTTTTGTCTCATCAGACCACATGACCTTCTGCCATTCCTCCTCTGGATCATCCAGATGGTCATTGGCAAACTTCAGACGGGCCTGGACATGCGCTGGCTTGAGCAGGGGGACCTTGCGTGCGCTGCAGAATTTTAATCCATGACGGCGTAGTGTATTACTAATGGTTTTCTTTGAGACTGTGGTCCCAGCTCTCTTCAGGTCATTGACCAGGTCCTGCCGTGTAGTTCTGGGATGATCCCTCACCTTCCTCATGATCATTGATGCCCCACGAGGTGAGATCTTGCATGGAGCCCCAGACCGAGGGTGATTGACCGTCATCTTGAACTTCTTCCATTTTCTAATAATTGCGCCAACAGTTGTTGCCTTCTCACCAAGCTGCTTGCCTATTGTCCTGTAGCCCATCCCAGCCTTGTGCAGGTCTACAATTTTATCCCTGATGTCCTTACACAGCTCTCTCGTCTTGGCCATTGTGGAGAGGTTGGAGTCTGTTTGATTGAGTGTGTGGACAGGTGTCTTTTATACAGGTAACGAGTTCAAACAGGTGCAAGTTAATACAGGTAATGAGTGGAGAACAGGAGGGCTTCTTAAAGAAAAACTAACAGGTCTGTGAGAGCCAGAATTCTTACTGGTTGGTAGGTGATCAAATACTTATGTAATGCAATAAAATGCAAATTAATTACTTAAAAATCATACAATGTGATTTTCTGGATTTTTGTTCTGGATTCCGTCTCTCACAGTTGAAGTGTACCTATGATAAAAATTACAGACCTCTACATGCTTTGTAAGTAGGAAAACCTGCAAAATCGGCAGTGTATCAAATACTTGTTCTCCCCACTGTATGAAAAGAGTGGGCAGTAGCACAATTACATAAAGCCTAAGCCATGGCCGAATCAAATCAAATCAATCAAATGTTATTGGTCACATACACATATTTAGCAGATTTTATTGCGGGTGTAGCGAAATGCTTGTGTTCCTAGCTCCAACAGTGCAGTAGTATCTAACAATTCACAACAATACACACAAATCTAAAAGTAAAAGACTGGAATTAAGAAATATATAAATATTAGGACTAGCAATGTCGGAGTGGCATAGACTAAAATACAGTAGAAAATAATTCAATATATACATATGAAATGAGTAAAGCAGTATGTAAACATTATTAAAGTGACTAGTGTTCCATTATTAAAGTGACCAGTGATTCCATGTCTATGTACATAGGGCAGCAGCCTCTAAGGTGCAGGGTTGAGTAACCAGGTGGTTGCCGGCTAGTGATGGCTATTTAACAGTCTGATGGCCTGGAGATAGAAGCTGTTTTTTAGTCTCTCGGTCCCAGCTTTGATGCACCAGTACTGACCTCGCCTTCTGTATGGTAGCTGGGTGAACAGGCCGTGGCTCAAGTGGTTGATGTCCTTTATGATCTTTTTAGCCTTCTTGTGACATCGGGTGCTGTAGGTGTCCTGGAGGGTAGGCAGTGTGCCCCCGGTGATGCGTAGGGCAGACCGCACCACCCTCTGGAGAGCCCTGCAGTTGCGAGGGGTGCAGTTGCCGTACCAGGCGGTGATACAGTCCGACAGGATGCTCTCAATTGTGCATCTGTAAAAGTTTGTCTCAATTGTGCATCTGTAAAAGTTTGTGAGGGTCTTAGGGGCCAAGCCAAATTTCTTCAGCCTCCTGAGGTTGAAGAGGCGCTGTTGCGCCTTCTTCACCACACTGTCTGTGTGGGTGGACCATTTCAGATTGTCAGTGATGTGTACGCCGAGGAACATGAAGCTTTCCACCTTCTCCACTGCGGTCCCGTCGATGTGGATAAAGGCGTGCTCCCTCTGCTGTTTTCTGAAGTCCAAGATCAGCTCCTTCGTTTTGAGGGAGAGGTTATTTTCCTGGCACCACTCCGTCAGTGCCCTCACCTCCTCCCTGTAGGCTGTCTCGTCATTTTTGGGAGTCAGGCCTACTACTGTTGTGTCATCTGCAAACTTGATGATTGAGTTGGGGGCGTGCGTGGCCACGCAGTCATGGGTGAACAGGGAGTACAGGAGGTAGCAGAGCACGCACCCTTGTGGGGCCCCTGTGTTGCGGATCAGCGAAGTGGAGGTGTTGCTACCTACCTTCACCACCTGGGGGCAGCCCGTCAGGAAGTCCAGGACCCAGTTGCACAGGGCGGGGTTCAGACCCAGGGACCCGAGATTAATGATGAGCTTGGAGGGTACTATGGTTTTGAAGGCTGAGCTGTAGTCAATGAACAGCATTCTTACATAGGTATTCCTCTTGTCCAGATGGGATAGGGCAGTGTGCAATGCGATGGCGATTGCGTCGTCTGTGGATCTATTGGGGCGATATGCAAATTGAAGTGGGTCTAGCGTGTCAGGTAAGGTAGAAGTGATATGATCCTTAACTAGCCTCTCAAAGCACTTCATGATGACAGAAGTGAGTGCTACGGGGTGATAGTCATTTAGTTCCGTTACCTTTGATTTCTTGGGTACAGGAACAATGGTGGACATCTTGAAGCAATTGGGGACAGCAGACTGGGATAGGAAGAGATTGAATATGTCTGTAAACACTCCAGACACCTGGTCTGCGCATGCTCTGAAGACGCGGCTAGGGATGCCGTCTGGGCCGGCAGCCTTGTGAGGGTTAACATGCATTAACGTCTTACTCACGTCGGCCACGGAGAACGAGAGCCCACAGTCCTTGGGAGCGGGCCCCATCGGTGGTACTGTGTTATCCTCAAAGCGAAGAAGGTGTTCAGCTTGTCCGGGAGCAAGACGTCGGTGTCCACGATGTGGCTGGTTTTCCCTTTGTAATCCGTGATTGTCTGTAGACCCTGCCACATATGTCTCGTGTCTGAGCCATTTAATTGCAACTCCACTTTTTCTCTGTACTGACGTATTGCCTGTTTGATTGCCTTACGGAGGGAATAACTACACTGTTTGTATACAACCATATTCCCAGTCACCTTGCCATGGTTAAATGCAGTCGTTCGCGCTTTCAGTTTTGCACGAATGCTGCCATCTATCCATGGTTTCTGGTTTGGGTAGGTTTTAATAGTCACAGTGGGAACAACATCCCCTATACACTTCCTGATGAACTCAGTCACCGTGTCTGTGTATACGTCAATGTTATTCTCAGAGGCTACCCAGAACATATCCCAGTCCGCGTGATCAAAACAATCTTGAAGCATGGATTCCGAATGGTCAGACCAGCGTTGAATAGACCTTAGCACGAGTACTTCCTGTTTGAGTTTCTGCCTTTAGGAAGGGAGGAGCAAAATGTAGTCGTGATCTGATTTGCCGAAGGGAGGGCGGAGGAGGTCCTTGTAGGCATCCCGGAACGGGGAGTAGCAGTGGTCGAGCGTTTTTCCAGTGCGAGTACTACAGTCAATGTGTTGATAGAACTTCGGTAGCGTTTTCCTCAAAATATAACTTTGTTAAAATCCCCAGCTACAATAAATGCGGCCACAGGATATGTGGTTACCAGTTTGCACAAAGTCCAGTGTAGTTCCTTGAGGGCCGTCTTGGTATTGGCTTGAGGGGGAATATACACGGCTGTGACTATAACCGAAGAGAATTCTCTTGGGAGGTAATACGGTCGGCATTTGATTGTGAGGTATTCTAGGTCGGGTGAACAAAAGGACTTGAGTTTCTGTACGTTGTCACAATCACACCATGAGTAGTTAATCATGAAACATACACCACCACCTTTCTTCTTCCTGGGGAGTTCTTTATTCCTGTCTGTGCGATGTACTGAGAACCCAGCTGGCTGTATGGACGGGGACAGTATATCCGGAGAGCCATGATTCCGTGAAACAGAGTATGTTACAGCCCCTGATGTCTCTCTGGAAGGAGATCCTCGCCCTGAGCTTGTCTACTTTATTGTCCAGAGATTGAACATTAGCGAGTAATATACTCGGAAGCGGTGGATGGTGCGCACGCCTCCTGAGTCGGACTACAAGTCCACTCCAAATACCTCTTCTCCGTCAGTGGCGTCTTGGAGCAGCCTCTGGGATAAGTTCAACACCCCGGCCGTCCTACAATCTAAACTAGATGCCCTCAATCTCACACAAATTATCAAGGAACCTACCAGGTACAACCCTAAATCCGTAAACATGGGCACCCTCATAGATATCATCCTGACTAATTTACCCTCTAAATACACCTCCGCTGTCTTCAACCAGGATCTCAGCGATCACTGCCTCATTGCCTGCGTCCGTAATGGGTCCGCGGTCAAACGACCACCCCTCATCACTGTCAAACACTCCCTAAAACACTTCAGCGAGCAGGCCTTTCTAATTGACCTGGCCCGGGTATCCTGGATGGATATGGACCTCATTCCGTCAGTAGAGGATGCCTGGTTGTTTTTTAAAAGTGTTTTCCTCTCCATCTTAAATAAGCATGCCCCATTCAAAGAATTCAGAACTAACAACAGATATAGCCCCTGGTTCACCCCAGACTTGACTGCCCTTGGCCAGCACAAAAACATCCTGTGGCGTACTGCATTAGCATCGAACAGCCCCCGCGATATGCAACTTTTCAGGGAAGTCAGGAACCAATATACACAATCAGTTAGGAAAGCAAAGGCTAGCTTTTTCAAACAGAAATGTGCATCCTGTAGCACTAACTCCAAAAAGTTTTGGGACACTGTAAAGTCCATGGAGAATAAGACCACCTCCTCCCAGCTATCCACTGCACTGAGGCTAGGAAACACTGTCACCACCGATAAATCTACGATAATCGAGAATTTCAAGAAGCATTTTGCTACGGCTGGCCATGCTTTGCACCCCGGCCACCAGCTCTGCACCCTCCGCTGCAACTTGCCCATGCCCCCCCCCCCCCCGCTTCTCCTTCACCCAAATTCAGATAGCTGATGTCCTGAAAGAGCTGCTAAATCTGGACCCCAACAAATCAGCTGGGCTAGACAATCTGGACCCTTTCTTTCTAAAATTAGCTGCCGAAATTGTCGCAACCCCTATTTCTAGCCTGTTCAACCTCTCTTTCGTATCGTCTGAGATCCCCAGAGATTGGAAAGCTGCCGCGGTCATCCCCCTCTTCAAAGGGGGTGACACTCTAGATCCAAACTGTTACAGACCTATATCTATCCTGCCCAGCCTTTTGAAAGTATTTGAAAGCCAAGTTAATAAACAGATCACTGACATTTACATTACATTTACCAGACGCTCTTATCCAGAGCGACTTACAGTAAGTGAATACATAATAATAATTATTTTTGTATTATTTTTTTATACCCCCCGTGGGAATCGAACCCACAACCCTGGCGTTGCAAACGCCATGCTCTACAAACTGAGCTACATCCCCTGCCGGCCATTCCCTCCCCTACCCTAGACGACACTGGGCCAATTGTGCGCCGCCCCATGGGTCTCCCGGTCGTGGCCGGCTACGACAGAGCCTGGATTCGAACCAGGATCTCTAGTGGCACAGCTAGCACTGCGATGCAGTGCCTTAGACCACTGCGCCACTCGGGAGACACACTGACCATTTCGAATCCCACCATACCTTCTCCGCTATGCAATCTGGTTTCCAAGCTAGTCATGGGTGCACCTCAGCCACGCTCAAGATCCTAAATGATATAATAACCGCGATCGATAAAAGACAGTACTGTGCAGCCGTCTTCATTGACCTGGCCAAGGCTTTTGACTCTGTCAATCACTGCATTCTTATTGGAAGACTAAATAGCCTTGGTTTCTCAAATGACTGCCTCGCCTGGGTTCACCAACTACTTCTCAGATATAGTTCAATGTGTCAAATCGGAGGGCCTGTTGTCTGGACCTCTGGCAGTCTCTATGGGGGTGCCACAGGGTTCAATTCTCGGGCCGACTCTATTCTCTGTGCATATCAATGATGTCGCTCTTGCTGCTGGTGACTCTCAGATCCACCTCTACGCAGACGACACCATTTTGTATACATCTGGCCCTTCATTGGACTCTGGTTAGACCGTAAACTCTCCTTCCAGACTCACATTAAGCATCTCCAATCCAAAGTTAAATCTAGAATCGGCTTCCTATTTCGCAACAAAGCCTCCTTCACTCATGCTGCCAAACATGCCCTCGTAAAACGGACTATCCTACCGATCCTTGACTTCGGCGATGTCATTTACAAAATAGCTTCCAACACTCTACTCAGCAAATTGGATGTAGTTTATCACAGTGCCATTCGTTTTGTCACCAAAGCCCCATATACTACCCACCATTGTGACCTGTACGCTCTCGTTGGCTGGCCCTCACTACATATTCGTCGCCAAACCCACTGGCTCCAGGTCATCTATAAATCACTTCTAGGCAAATCCCTGCCTTATCTTAGATCATTGGTCACCATAGCAACACCCACCCGTAGTATGCGTTCCAGCAAGTATATCTCACTGGTCATCCCCAAAGCCAACACCTCCTTTGGCCGCCATTCCTTCCGGTTCTCTGCTGCAAATGACTGGAACGAACTGCAAAAATCTCTGAAGCTGGAGACACTTATCTCCCTCACTAACTTTAAGCATCAGTTGTCAGAGCAGCTTACCAATCACTGCACCTGTACACAGCCCATCTGTAATTAGCCCACCCAACTACCTCATCCCCATATTGTTATTTATTTTGCTCATTTGCACCCCAGTATCTCTATTTGCACATCATCTTCTGCACATCTATCACTCCAGTGTTAATAATAAATTGTAATTATTTTGCACTATGGCCTATTTATTGCCTTACCTCCATAACTTACTACATTTGCACACACTCTATATAGATTTTCTATTGTGTTATTGACTGTACGTTTTGTTTATTCCGTATGTAACTCTGTTGTTGTTGTTGTTGTTTTTATCGCACTGCTTTGCTTTATCTTGGCCAGGTCGCAGTTGTAAATGAGAACTTGTTCTCAACTGGCTTACCTGGTTAAATAAAATAAAATAAAATAAAATTGCCCTGGGGGGTACAAACAAAGGATCCAATTCGGTAAAGGCGTATTCCTGGTCGTTATGCTGGTGAGCTACCGCCGCTCTGATATCCAACAGTTATTTCCGACTGTATGTAATAACACAAAAAACATTCTGGGCTAATAATGTAAGAAATAACACACAAAAAAACTAAACACTGCAAAGTTTTTAGGCGCTAGAAGCAGAGCTTCCATGTCTGTCGGCGCGACCTTCTTACACAATTAGAAACAAACAATACATTTTTCCACAGCTCAAAATCCAATTCCCCTGGCATGCCCATGGTGCCCTGGTACCTGTGGTGTCCATGGACCTCTCAGTGTAAAGGCTCTCGTTACTTCCTCCATCCAACAGCTGAGCTCCAAAAGCAGCCTTCAGCAGCATGTCAGACAGACGGCCTGCACTCAGAGACCTGGAGATATAACACACACACACAGATACCTTCAGAGGGCCTCAGCAGACAAGTTTAATCATTACTCAGTCATACCTAAAGATAGAGCTTACTACAACATTTATGGATATCAGATAACCAGTATCTATAGAGCTGGTTCTCACCTTTTGAAGGGGCCCTTCCTCTTCCCTGTGGCCCTGCTGATGTGGCTCAGGTCTGACACTGTCCGTGTGCGGGTGGGAATGATGGGCAAGTCCTCAAAGCTGGTGGGCCGGGGGAATTCATGTGGAGGCGTGGCCTAAGTAGGAATCAGGAAAATAACAACATGAGAATGTTGTATTATAGAGTAACTACTTCACTCATGAGTTTGCAGAAGAGACCACTAAATGTGACATTGTTTAGCGGCTGACCTGAGGGCTCTGTTGTCCTGTCCAGGTGCTGAAGAGACCAGTCTGCTCTGGGGTCTCTGGGATAGTGCCCACTGGGAGAAGAGAAGTGAAGAAGCACATGTTACGGTGAGATGCAATAGCATGTTGGAATGTCAGCATTGTAGTAATGCAGTAATGGAGGTCTAAGGGGATTCCTACTGTACCTTGTGGAGAGGGCTGGTAGGGTCTGGCCCCTCCAGCTGACAGCCTGCGGTGGCTGAGCACTGCCCCCCCGGTGCCTGATGGGAGAGGAAGGGAGGCTCCAGTCTTCCTACTCCCTGGGGAACTGCCACTACTACTATCAACACAGCACAGGGTGGCCCTGAAACAGATGTGTAACATGCCATCAACAATTTCCAGAATACACCCCCACAGTAGAAATGCCCCACAGAAGAGAGAGAGAGAGTGAGAGAGAGAGCGACAGAGCGACAGAGAGACAGAGACAGAGACAGAGACAGAGAGAGAGAGAGAGAGAGAGAGAGAGAGAGAGAGAGAGAGAGAGAGAGAGAGAGAGAGAGAGAGAGAGAGAGAGAGAGAGAAAGAAAGAACGATTGACAGACACAAGAGACAGAGAAAGTGATAGAGAGAGATGTACCTGGTTGAGCCATGTAGACCTGCAGGGTGTAGGTTCTGTTCTAAACGCTGGTAGTTGTGGATCTGTGTTGGGACAGGAATGGGCACAGACTGGCTGTAGCTACTCCCACTGAAGTCTGCAGGCCTGCTGCACAGATCAAAAGGGAGGGGAGACAGGAAAAGGATGAGTACACCTCAGTGATTTTGTGGGATTGAACACAGTGGAGGGTTGAAGGGAAACAAACACAGTAAATGCCTGTAAAAACACCACTTGTTCCCTCAGATTTGTATGTCTATTAGGTTAGGACAGGTCCATTCTCCCTTTCTCTCACAATGTTTGTAGTATGACAAACACTAAAGGATGTTATAATTTGATACCCATCAGTTAAACAGGAGTGTGCTTTATTCTAAAGGCTGGTCAGAATAAAGGAGGGTGAGATGGACAAATGCTCTGAAACTTCTAATAGCCCAGGTTTAATCCCCATCTGTCCCCCTCAGTCAGCCCTGCTCTTACCTAACAGGATTAGGGGGACAGAGGGGTGAAGAGGGGGGTGGTGTCCTGCCTAGACTCCCAAGTACCCCAGCAGCCAGCAGAGAGCTCCTTTATCATCAAGACAAAGGTACAGGACAGAGTCAGTCAGTGCTACCCACTATCTACCTGCTGCTATAAGGGCCTCACATAACCATCTCCATTGTACAGGTTTCTACAGTAGGACTATACATTTCCTTATATTAAATAAAACAGAGTTATATCATTATCCTGTACTCATCTTACCCACTGCACAACAGGCTGCCCTGGACAGGTGACCCATCTGCCATGTCACATGTGATCTCACCTGGAGGTAACAAAACAGGATCCAGGGACATATCAGTCACATGCTTTACAGCATTAATCAAACCCATATCAATAACACAGTGCTGGTAATGTAAGAGCTAGAGAGATAAAGACAGAGAGAGAGCGCTAGGGTGAGATAGGGAGTCTTACTGGGGAACTGGGCAGGCACCATGACAAAGTCGTCCGTCTCAGAGGAGGTGTTCCTGCTGTTGTGGAGGGCTGTGTCCTGGGAAGGGGAGGACTCGGCCTTGGGCTGGAGTCTCTGCAGCTCCGCATCGGAATGCTGAAGGGAAAAAGAGTGGAAAATATATAATATTAGACCCTAGGTGACTGGTATTGGTAGCAGATCATTTCCCCTTCACATTATAGAGCATTGGGCTGAGCACTAGGAAAAGTGCTATATAAAGCTTATTCATCATCGTTATCACTCCCCAGAGAGGAGGGGTACTCACTTGAGGGGAGGAGGCCAGGTGTAAGGTGGAGGAACTGCTAGAGGAGCTGGCAGAGCCAGAGCTGGGGTAGGAGGGCATGGGCACCGGAGAGGCTGGAATGATGAAGGACACGGTCACTGTGGTATTAATCCCAACTACATACTGGGGGTCATGCCATGGCTGTGGCACTCTTTATTTAGGTACTAAATAACTTGAGTTGTACATTAGAACTCATTAATAAATCATACCTGTCTAAAATGCAGTTCTAATCCACTGAGCAATTTGCCTTTATGGCCTATAGGGATACTCACATTTCTTTGTGGATGAACTTGACTCAAGGAAAGAGTGATGGAAAAACTCATCTGTGTGGGTAAACAATGCCAAATAAATTGAAATAAGACTGACATTGCAAGGACTGATTGCAGTTCCATTCCAGTGAAAAAGACGTCACATCAGACAGCAGTGCAAATGTTATTGAGTGAGAGAGTGAGTGAGGCTAACCAAAGTCCATGCGCTCCTTATGGTTCCTTTGCAGCAGGCCCAGGAGCAGGTGTCTTAGGTGGACTGACGTCTCCCGCGGGATGCTGGGAGAAACACAGGGTTACAGGTTTCACTTTGAAAACATTTTTCTTTAATGACCATAAACAAGCTGCGTGTTCAACAAGGACACAGAGTAATATCACATGTTGGATTGTTTTGTGTTTGTGTGTATTGACTATTTAGAAGATGATGTTTGTGAGTGAGTTTGTTTAAGCAATAAGGCCTGAGGTATTTGGTATTTTATTAGGATCCCCATTAGCTGTTGCAACAGCAGCAGCTACTCTTCCTGGGGTCCACACAAAACATGAAACATGACATAATACAGAACATTAATAGACAAGAACAGCTCAAGGACAGAACTACTTTTTTAGAGGCACATGTAGCCTTTGACCTATCTAGATCAAATAGGGGAGAGGCGTTGTGCCGTGAGGTGTTGCTTTATCTGTTTTTTGAAACCAGGTTTGCTGTTTATTTTAGCAATATGAGATGGAACGGAGTTCCATGCAATAATGGCTCTATATAATACTGTACGCTTTCTTGAATTTGTTCTGGATTTGGGGACTGTGAAAAGACCCCTGGTGGCATGTCTGGTGGGGTAAGTGTCCCCTGTAGCTCAGTTGGTAGAGCATGGCGCTTGCAACGCCAGGGTTGTGGGTTCGTTTCTCACGGGGGGCCAGTATGAAAATGTAAGCACTCACTAACTGTAAGACGCTCTGGATAAGAGCGTCTGCTAAATGACTAAAATGTAAGTGTCTGTGTCAGAGCTGTGTGTAAGTTGACTCTGCAAGCAATTTGGGATTTTCAACACATTAATATTTCTTAGAAAAAGAAGAAGTGATGTAGTCAGTCAACTCTTAGCCAAGAGAGACTGGCATGCATAGTATTTATATCAGCCCTCTTATTACAATGAAGAGCAAGACGTGCCGCTCTGTTCTGGGCCAGCTGCAGCTTAACTAGGTATTTCCTTGCAGCACTCGACCACACGACTGGACAATAATCAAGATAAGACAAAACTAGAGCCTGCAGAACTTGCAAAAAAGCAGAGCATCTCTTTACTACAGCCAGACCTCTCCCCAGCTTTACAACCATTGAATCTATATGTTTTGACCATGACAGTTTACAATCTAAGGTAACGGCAAGTAATTTAGTCTCCTCAACTTGTTAAGGGTTTCAGTGAATTCATTAGCTGTGGTTGCTGATGCGTATATATGGTTGAATCACCAGCATACATTGGATGGACACACATGCTTTGTTTAATGCCAGTGGCAGGTCATTGGTAAAAATAGAAAGCTAGCTACTTTAGTGGATGTTGTCACATTTCTACTGGCAAATGAATACATTTCTAGCGGCAAATATGTTAAATTATAGCCATGGTATAAAAGGGATAATCAACTCAGGGCTCTATGCATTCTCTGGAAAATAATGCAGTGTTCCAGAGAACACATAGCCCCTCATTGATTATTCCTTACTAAGCAATAAATCGGGTTGTTATGACACCCTGAGCTGTAATGTGGTGTGTGGTTGTGTTTTACTAGCACTAAGAGCAAGATTGTGAGGTATGATACTGTATGAGTGTGGCTGTGTGCCTGTGTTTATGTTTGAGTGACTCAGGGCATTTTGACACCCTGACCCTTACAAAAAAAGATAGCAGTTTTTAAACGTAGTAAAAGTGCAGTAACTGCAGTCGACTGTGGTATTTTGGACGCAGTAATTGCAGAATAACTGTAGTTAGACTGCATTCTGACTGAAATCTTTTTTTGTAAGGGGAGCTGTGGTGTGTGTGTGTGTGTCTGTGTGTGTGTATGTGTGTGTGATCTATGTGGGTCATGTGGAAAGTAATAGCAGTGCAATAGCAGGCAGCTAACAGCAGTTATAAATAGAAAAAAGCAAATAACAAACCCTGTAACCCCTGTAACCCACACAAACATGCCCATCCTCATCACAGACTTTATTAGAGACAGAGTTCTACTAAATTGGTATTCCCCTGAGTGACACAAACACACAAGCTCACAAAGTAAAAGATAAAAAGATAACAAATGCCTATGGCTGTTTTGCACTTCAAAGGGGATGGAGAGGGGGATAATATCTGTTTCCATGAATAAGAGATATACAATTCTACAGCTAACCATTGAGAGCATCTTGACTGGCTGCATCACTGCTTGCTTTGGCAACTATACCGCCCTCGATCGCATGGCACTACAGAGGATGGTGCGGACAGCCCAGTACATCACTGGGGCCGAGCTCCCTGCCATCCAGGACCTCTATATCAGGCGGTGTGAAAGGAAGGTCTGGAAAATTGTTAAAGACTCCAGACACCCAAGCCATGGACTGTTCTCTCTGCTTCCACACATCAAGCAGTACCAGACTGAGTCTATGCACACTCACACACTCACTCTATGCACACTCTACACACTCAGTCACACACACAAACTCACACTCCAACACACACACACACACACACTTAATTTGCTCACACACACATAACACCCACACACATTCATACTGACTCTACACACACACACGCACGCACACACACTCACATAAAATCATCATATACGCTGCTGCTACTCTATTCATCATATATCCTGATGCCTAGTCACCTTACCCCTATACATATCTAACCCTACCACTCCAGTATCCCAGCACATTGTAAATATGGTATTGGCACTGACCCTGGAACTGACCCTGTATATAGCTTCTTACTTTCTCGTGTTCTTCTTATTTCTATTTCTCGTGTGTTTTTGTTCTACTTGACTTTTTAAAAATAGAACTCCTGATATTGATTACTGCATTGTTTGGAAAGAGCTTGCAAGAAATGCATTTCACTGTCCTTGTGCACGTGACAATAAAACGTGAAACGTGAAACTTGAGTGTATAAGAATTTTTAGGTGTGCCAATAATTTTGACACCTATCAAAAAAGAAAATAAAGTGTTAAATAAAATCAATTTCTCTGAGAAATTGTATTAAGCGCTTATCAGAGTCCAAAGCGTGTACGCATACGCACAGCAGTGTTCTAGCATATTGGACCGTTGGCTTTCATACTTTACGAATTCTCAGCGTGGCTCAAGCAATTTCTCTAACTGTCAACACAAATAGAGGACATGTACGCGGAGCCGCGTTGTTTGGGAATTTTGGCGAGGTGCTTGTTTGGGCTGTGCGTCCCCCGCAGATGGTGGTCTGAGAGCCGAGTAGCTATGTGTCACAATGGGATGCCGGACTATGGACTCTGCGCCTGTGGACTCTGAATTACACTTTAGTATAAAATAATATAATTTTCCAATTTTTTGGAGCATACAATATAGCTTGGTATTTGTATTATTTATTTTATAGAGCCTTTTTTGCTCATCTTTATCAAGGGTGCCAATCATTTTGGAGGTGACTGCACATTATATGGTTACCTAAAGTTATCTGTCAGTATTACAGGGTTATCTAAAGTCATCTGTCAGTAAGCTGATTAGACAGATAAAACAGATCTGCCTGTTTATGCTATCCTCGATCAGTCACACCTAATCCTGTTTGTGTGTGGATTCTCAGAGCAGAGGCCTGCAGGTCTCACTACTAACCTGGGCTGGAGGTCCCTGTTTCTCTCATAGAAGAGACGCAGCTCCTGGGGGCTACTGGCCTGCATGACAAACACACAACACAGGACACACACACATCCTGTCTGTAACTGTCTGTTACAGCTGGAACACACACCTGTTCCCATGCAATCACTTTTTTTAATGAATCGTTTAATGCTTTGCCGCAAAATGAAATGATGAATTAAAAAAAATAATTGCTATAAAGAAAATTGCCTTTAAGAAATCAACAGTCAATACATCGGATCAGAGGACATACAAGTTGTAATTTTATGAGTTCTCTTTAAAAAAAAAACGCTTGTCTCTTGTGGTTGGTTGTACACTGGATGTTTAGGACCTGTCAACTAAAACCAGGTGACATGGACAGTCTAAGTGAACACTACAGCATTACATGATCACCCTGCCACTGACCCTGTCTGCTCTGAACTCAGTGGCCTGTCCTGGCATGCTTCTCTCTGGGTAATTGCTATTCAAATAATCTAATGCAGGAATAGCCCTATACCAAGTACAAAGGTTAAAATCTTCGAATTGCAGACAGCTTCAACCTACAGCTAAATCATTACTGACTTCCTAATAAACAGGCAGATCATTTAACCTTTCAAGGAGACATGAACATAAGACAAACTATTTTCGCTTGGCAAACTTGCTAACAGCTCTCTAGAACTCTTTCAAAACATGATTCAGCACAGCATCAATCAACCCTAACTACGTATGCCACAGTCCACCGCATAGAGTGGCCTCCTGGACGGTAGGGTGATAAGCCCCCTGCCTGCCCTGGCTGTTGTGAAACAATGTTTACCCTGGTCTCAGCCATTTCCTCATCCACCTGGCAGCCTGGCTGTTCATAAATAGGGATCTTTCGGAACAAGTGGACACACTGTTCAGACCCCCAGGAGTAACATAACAGCAGGGGAACAGATGGAGAGGCACTCAGTGTGATGTGTGTGTGCACATGCTGTTTATCACAGGCTTGTGATGTGTTGTCATACTTTATGCTAATGGTTATATTTTATATGATCTATGGTCAGTTCTTTCATAATATAACATGTACCAGGGTAATCAGCCTGTTCCAAAAGGCATTATAAATCGTAAAAGGCCTATTAGAAGTTTCTTATGCAAGAGCATTCAGAGATTTTAGAAAACATTTTAGATTAGCATTAGTAAGTCATGAAACTATAAACATTATCTTGTTTCCTAAAATTGTGAGTGTGTCTGATTATCACTCACCTGAAACGGAGCTTTCCCAGTTAAACACTGGTACACTATGGTTCCTATGCTCCACAGATCAGCTTTGGCATCATAGTTCTGGGACATGATCACCTCCGGCGCCTGAGCACAGACAGACACAGCACAGTGGGTTAGGGTCACATTTACAGTATTTCACCATAAGGTGGGTTAGGATGTATACGTGTATGGGCAGTAGGAGTTTCTCACCATATACATTGGAGAACCACACAGAGTGGCTGCCATAGCGTTACACTGGAGGTGACGTGCAAAGCCAAAATCAGCTGGAGAGAGGGCAAAATCGTCAGCCAAAAACACATCTCAAAACACTTATTTTCACTTATTTTCATTCTCTAAACCCATGATCAGAAATGTTTTTTTCTTTCAGAAGAGGACAACTGGAGGCTAAATGTTGGACTCTTTCCAAGTGAATGATTTAAGAGACTAGTGTAGCTGTATCCTGTATGTGGCAATATGACAACTAACCGCCATTGATCAACAAACAAATCACTTCCCAACCCCCCATCCACACCCTGCAGCAAAAACTGTCCAGCATCTCTTTTGTGTACTTAATGTACAGTATATTACCAAAAACCTCCCAAAACACACACCTATCTTGATGCAGGTGTTGTTGGGGCTGGACTTGCGTCCCTCATGGTGACAGAGAAGGATGTTCTGAGGTTTGAGGTCTCTGTGGAGGATGCCCTTTTCTTTCAGCACTTTCATGGCCCCAGCTATCTGCTGGAGGAAGACCCGGATGGTGTCCTCACTCAGAGTAGCCTTAGCTGCAGTCATGTGAGAGGCCAAACAGGAGAACATACATGGGAAATAAAGTTAGTAGAACAAGGGTCATGAGATTCGACAGTGGTATGGCTACTAATACAGTGCTATGAAAAAGTATTTGCCCCCTTTCTAATTTTCTCTACTTTTGTATATTTGTGATACTGACTGTTATCAGATCTTCAACCAAAACCTAATATTAGATAAATGGAACATAAGTGAACAAATAACACAACAATTACATATTTATTTCATAAACAAAGTTATGCAACACCCAATTCCCCTGTGTGAAAAAGTAATTGCCCCCTTACACTCAATAACTGTAATGACTCAAACCAAATGCTTCCTGTAGTTGTTGATCAGTCTCTCATGTCGCTGTGAATGAATTTTGGCCCACTCTTCCATGCAGAACTGCTTTAACTCAGTGACGTGTGGGTTTTCAAGCATGAACTGCTCGTTTCAAGTCCTGCCACAACATCTCAATTGGGATTAGGTCTGGACTTTGACTAGGCCATTCCAAAACTTCCAATTTGTTGCTTTTTAGCAGTTTTCATGTAGACTTGATTGTGTGTTTTCGATCATTGTCTTGCTGCATGACCCAGCTGCGCTTCAGCTTCAGCTCACAGACGGATGGTCTGACATTCTCCTGTAGAATTCTCTGATACAGAGCAGAATTCATGGTTCCTTCTATTAAGGCAAGTCGTCCAGGTCCTGAGGCAGCAAAGCATCCCCAAACCATCACACCACCACCACCATCCTTGACCTTTGGTATGATGTTCTTACTGTGGAATGCAGAGTTTGGTTTTCGCCAGGCATTACTGGAACCATGTAGTCCAAAAAATTATACTTTTGAATCATCTGTCCATAGAACGTTCTTCCAAGAGTCTTGATGATCATCCAGGTGCTTTTTGGCAAACTTGAGTCAACTTTTTGGACGAGATGGGTCCCAGACCTAATCCCAATTGAGATGTTGTAGCAGGACTTGAAACGAGCAGTTCATGCTTGAAAACCCACACGTCACTGAGTTAAAGCAGTTCTGCATGGAAGAGTGGGCCAAAATTCCTCCACAGCGTCGTGAGAGACTGATCAACAACTACAGGAAGCATTTGGTTGGAGTCATTGCAGCTAAAGGTGGCACAACCAGTTATTGAGTGTAAGGGGGCAATTACTTTTTCACACAGGGGAATTGGGTGTTGCATAACTTTGTTTATGTAATAAATATGTAATTGTTGTGTTATTTGTTCACCTATGTTCCCTTTATCTAATATTAGGTTTTGGTTGAAGATCTGATAACAGTCAGTATCACAAATATGCAAAAGTAGAGAAAATTAGAAAGGGGGCAAATACTTTTTCATAGCACTGTATATAGCTAGTTATAGGAACTGCTTCCAAAATGTGTAAAGGACAGGTATAACTAACTGACACCCTAATCCCTCAAGCACCTCGGCTGTATTTTTAGTGGCTGTGTTTTTCCACTGGAGGAGAGGAGATAAGTCAGCGCAAGATGGATGAGGTCATGTCGGTACTACATGAGCCTTGCAAGGCGTGTCTGGGTGTTGGATATGCCAACCTAATGGCAAGGGCGGGCAAGCACAGGAGAGTCAGGCGAATGTCTTGTCTACAAAACAAGACACGCTTGCATGATAGCAAAATCAGGCCACAGCAGGCCTTCGATCTTTAAATAGACTCATCGACCTACGCACACATGGTAAATTTAGTAAATGAGAGATCTGTATGCTCTCGGTCCAGTCACCGTATCTCAGGGGAGAGAGTGTAATAGAAGGAGGAGAGTATTGTCAGTTGATATTCTGCTAAGAGTATGAGAGGAGAGAATTTATTTTATTCTGTGGATTTATGATGGTGTCAGTAGGGGGATTATTGTCAATTTTGGCTATGAGACAGCAGGCAGAATAGGGAGTTATTTTCATTGCCCAATATTGTTATGTTACTCTAGGTCAGTGTGTGAAGGAGATATATTTTTTAGTGGCCTTGTGTTTTTTTAGTGGGTGTAGGGAGACGTTCCTTTTGGTGTTAATCACAAAAAATCCTGTTCTGTATGCTGGGCTTTATTTGGACCAAGCTCTTTAAGTATTTGTTGTACAGGCCTAGGCATTGTGTCAGCATGTAACCCACATCTAAATGATATGTCATATTGTGTTGCCCAAAGATGATTATTTGTTCTACTTTTCATGTTCTTTCAAAATAAAAGTACTCAACAAAATCCTCAACAAAGCCTCTCGTAGATGTAATTTACTATAACTATAACAATAGCTTACCACAATAACCTGCAACCAAATCTTTCCACAAGTAAGCAGGTCTTTGTTTGACCTGTTTCACACTAGCCAATGGTGTTTGGTTCTTCACTCTAAGCAATAACCATACTTACCAATACAGGCACCAGCAACATCTACAGTACAATCACAATTAAGATGTTAGAATGCTTAAGATGTTAATATGCTTCAATTCCTTTTGAAGTTCAAACATGAGTTAAGAAGAGAGACACATTTGTCAAAGCTCTGTTTGTGAGGTGACAGTATACTCACAGTGGAGGTATTCTGCCAAGTCTCCTCCATTGCAGTACTGGGAGCAGAGAAGAATGGAACATTTCATTAGCTCTAATTTGATTGTATCTTTCTACAACCACTATTAATCCATATGTACAGTAGCCTATACATAAAGTAAACCAGACTTCATCTTACCTCCATGACCAGATACACACACCCAGCCATTTCCTGTTAGAAAAAAACATAAAAATCATTGATTGTATAGATTTTGAAGATAGCAAACATTGACTAAAACACATGTTCCTGTGTATGTTCGAAATACATTTACCGGGAAATAACCCTTACAGCCTTTGAAATATATAATTATTACTTTTGTTCTGTTCATTTTCCCCCCATGGCAAATTAATAGATATGCACTGCAGTCCCAAGTTGGATGGGCACATGTAGTAGGTTTGAATAATGCATAAATGTAGAGACTATCCCATGTTAAGCAACAAATGACACCACTTCATCATTTAGAGTGGGTTGGCTCCCATTTGGCAGATCATGCAGGGTTGAGCTGGAAGCAAGGAAGGTGAGAGGGTTAGGCTGTCAGTCCAAGCTGACTACTATTGAATGGATTATAAGGGTGGGACTGGGAGGGGAATGAAGAAGTGGATTCAGGTTTCATTTGAATTTATAAGGTCTTAGTAGAAACCAGTATCCTTTATCCCCAATGGGCACAGACATCAATTTAATGTCTATTCCACGTTGGTTCAACCAGTGTGTGCCCAGTGGGTATTTTAATAATTAAACAAATATTGCTCAGTTACTCAAAGCAAATTGTCACATTTAGAGATAGTAGTACATTGTATCAATCAAATGTCACACAAACAAAATGGAACTGAGATAAAATGGGCTTGAGTAGATGTTAGATACATTACATGTGGCAGTGTTTACAGACAATCACGGACTACAATAGGAAAACCAGCCACATCGCGGACACCGACGTCTTGCTGCCAGACAAGCTAAACAAGTTCTTTGCCCGCTTTGAGGATAACACAGTGCCACCGACGCAGCCAGCTACCAAGGACTGTGGGCTCTCCTTCTCCGTGGCCTACGTGAGTAAGATATTTAAACGTGTTAACCCTCACAAGGCTGCCGGCCCAGACGGCGTTCCTAGCCGCGTCCTCAGAGCATGCGCAGACCAGCTGGCTGGTGTGTTTACGGACATATTCAATCTCTCCCTATCCCAGTCTGCTGTCCCCAAATGCTTCAAGATGGCCACCATTGTTCCTGTACCCAAGAATGCAAAGGTAACTGAACTAAATGACTATCGCCCCGTAGCACTCACTTCTGTCATCATGAAGTGCTTTGAGAGACTAGTCAAGGATCCATGCACGCCTCCAACTTAATCATCAAGTTTGCAGACGACACAACAGTAGTAGGCTTGATTACCAACAACGATGAGACAGCCTACAGGGAGGAGGTGAGGGCTCTCGGAGTGTGGTGTCAGGAAAATAACCTCTCACTCAACGTCAACAAAACAAAGGAGATGATTGTGGACTTCAGGAAACAGCAGAGGGAGTACCCCCCTATCCACATCGACAGGACAGCAGTGGAGAAGGTGGAAAGTTTTAGGTTCCTCTGCGTACATATCACTGACAAACTGAAATGGTCCACCCACACAGTGTGGTGAAGAAGGCGCAACTGCCTCATCACCGCCTGGTACGGCAACTGCACCGCCCCCAACTGCAGGGCTCTCCAGAAGGTGGTGCGGTCTGCACAACGCATCACAGGGGGCAAACTACCTGCCCTCCATGACACCTATAGCACCCGATGTCACATGAAGGCCAACAATATAATCAAGGACAACTACCACCCGAGCAACTGCCTGTTCACCCCGCTATCATCCAGAAGGCGAGGTCAGTACAGGTGCATCAAAGCTGGGACCTGAGAGACTGAAAAACAGCTTCTATCTCAAGGCCATCAGACTGTTAAACAGCCATCACTAGCACAGAAAGGCTGCTGCCTACATACAGACTTGAAAATCACTGGCCACTTTAATAAATGGAACACTAGTCACTTTAATATAACATTTTAATAATGTTTACATATCTTGCTTCACCCATCTCATATGTATATACTGTATTATATACTATCTTAATAATGTTTACATATCTTGCATTACCCATCTAATATGTATATACTGTATTCTATACTATCTATTGTATCTTAGCCTATGCCGCTCTGATGATGACATTGCTCATCCATATATTTATATATTCTTATTCCATTCCTTTACTTAGATTTGTGTGTATTAGGTTTTTGTTGTGGAACTGTTAGAAATTACTTGCTAGATATTACTGCACTGTCGGAACTAGAAGCACAAGCATTTCGCTACACTCGCAAAAACATCTGCTAACCATGTGTATGTGACCAATACATTTGATTTGATGACAGCCAGTGACAGTGCAGTAGGACAAAAGCACTTCCTTTCATGTATCCATATCACCTAGCAGGCGTCAGGTCTCTAGTCATTACACTCATTAAGTTGCTGAAGAGATTCCCGGGGAGATTTCTGCTGACTGAGCTCCTTGTCTGTTGTCTTAAGCCATTGTTTAGCTTGCAGGCCGGCTGCACCCTGCCATCTGTTTAAGACTAGTGAGCCCAAACAGATCTAATGTCTGTCTGGTGACGGGATAATTTTACAACCACATAGGGCCTTGAAGGGAGGACAGCCAAATACAGCTGCAGTTGGATCCCCATACAATCCCTGAGATGGGAACATTGAGAAACTCACCTACATGCAAATTTGATACGTTTCTACATTAACCAGATGCCAACTGACAGTAATGAATATGTTATAACAATGTATCAGATTAGATGTCTCACCTTTACTGGGATTGGATTGGCTAGTAAAGAAATCTATAGATTACTTGTTCTGGTCCAAAAGTTAGCTTCAGCTACGGCTGTTCATGATAAGGCCAGCTGCCACTTGGGACAAGAAAGTCTCACCTACTGCATTTTTTCATTGTTCCCCTCTAATCAGGGACTGATTTAGACCTGGGACACCAGATGGGTGCAATTAATTATCAGGTAGAACAGAAAACCAGCAGGCTCCGCTCCGGATCTCATAGGGCAGAGATCATCAACTAGATTCAGCCGCGGGTTGATTTTTTTCTTGAGCGGATGGTCGAGGGCGGAACAAAATTACATATCATTTGTGGATTGCAAATTGACCGCAACAAGCCCAAACAGATATAATACTTCAAATCTTGCTTACATTTGTATACGATCACGTCTCTCTATTATGCGTGGGAATACTTGGGAACAGATTTCCAAAATTAAAATCACTTGGAGATGATTACCTGGTGTTTTTACAATCTTTTATGTCCAACAATAAAAAATAATAGAATTAATATATAGAATTAATATATATATATATATATATATATATATATATATATATATACACACTATTGATTAAAAGTTTTAGAACACCTACTCATTCAAGGGTTTTTCTTTATTTTTACTATTTTCTACATTGTAGAATAATAGTGATGACATCAAAACTATGAAATAACACATATGGAATCATGTAGTAACCAAAAATAGCCACCCTTTTCCTTGATGACAGCTTTGCACACACTTGGCATTCTCTCAACCAGCTTCATGAGGTAGTCACCTGGAATGCATTTCAATTAACAGGTGTGCCTTCTTAAATGTTAATTTGTGGATTTCTTTCCTTCTTACTGCATTTGAGCCAATCAGTTGTGTTGTGACAAGGCAGGGGTGGTATACAGAAGATTTGAGCTGTTTTCGCCCTATTTGGCAAAAACAGCTCAAATAAGCAAAGCGAAACGACAGTCCATCATTACTTTAAGACATGAAGGTCAGTCAATACGGAACATTTCAAGAACTTTAAAAAAACATTAAGTGCTATGATGAAACTGGCTCTCATGAGGACCGCCACAGGAATGGAAGACCCAGAGTTACCTCTGCTGCAGAGGATAAGTTCATTAGAGTTACCATGTTGCAGGGTAAGAGTTGAATATCCCTGCTCTAGGCCAACTGACATAGATAACACGTAGGGTCCTAGGGGGTAACTAGCCCCCTGGGTTAACTGCCCCCCCCCCCCCCCCCCCCCCCCCCCGTAATTCCCCTGGGGGCTAGTTACCCCTTTATGGTTATGAATGTGTTTCTACCTGTCATTTTGACAATGACTAGCTCAGTTAGCGCTAGTTTATGCTAACTTGCTAGCTAGCAATTTAGCTAGCAGCAAATGCTAGCCAGCTAGCTAGTTAGCATAAACTGCTAGGAGTGCTAGCTAGCAACCTTACTACCAGATCGTCTGAGGTAAAATACATTAAAAAGATAACGTAACTTAATTGCAGTTTTAAATGTTTCCACTAGTGACTGATAGCTTTACAGTTAATGTTACTTTATAGCCTTTTAGTTATTTTACACAGCATTTGATGTCATATTGCTGGATTGCTAGCTACGTTTTTTTCAGTCACAGGTGGGGACTGGATTAGGTGTGACCAGTGCAGGAGGTGGGCTCATGAGTTGTGCTCCAATTTTACTGGGGATAGCTTTATTTGTGACCTATGTACAGATTAGAATTGTGCAATAGCAGATCATACGAGAGTTGCCACATCAATGTTACACTGAGTTAATTAGTTAAGTTATTGTTATTAAATGTTATAGTCCAATGTTATTTCATGTTATTAGTTATATTCCATTCCAATATTATATAAAAAAACTGCTATTGAAAACCTTTTGATCCTGAATGTAATTTTAAAGACTGCTGGGATTCAAAATCTTGCATTATTCAAATTATATTTAGTGCAATTGTACATAATGGATTGTATGGAAAAGGAACAACAAAGAAAGAACAAATAAAATGTATGTGCAGGTGAGTTAAAAAGAGGGCCTTTACATCAACTCTCCTCATAGTGCGGATATTAATGGTGACATGTGCAACCCCCCCCCCTCATATTTTATTTAAATAATAAAAATTAGACAACTAGACTTAGCTTTTAAGTATTACTTACTGAAGAATTTCTCAATAAAACTGATTAAATGGATTTTAACACACTAGTACTCTACATCCACAGAAACTACAAGATCCAGAGAGTACTGCAGCATAAACGCCTGTGTCAACATGAGCGAATGAGATGCAATGTTTTGCACATCGAATGTCAACAGTTGCGCACGTGAAAGCTTATTGTGTAGAACCAGAGCAGTGTGTGATGATACCGACATGTACAGGTAGGCTACATGTGTGTCAATAATAAATAGTGATGTTGAAAATCGACACATACCTGGAAGTCAAGTAGTCCAACGATATTCTCATGTTTCAGCTCCTTTGTAGATGAACAACAATTGAATGGTTAATTTGCCTAGGCCTGGGCTTACATTAATTGCAGAAAGTTTCGTCGTTCAACAGTAAAATTCTTACCTTTAGTATTTTAATCTCTTTTCCTAAGAGTGAATGGGATTTTGCCAGGTTCTTCTTGTTAATACATTTCACAGCTACTTCCAAGTCATGTCTCTTAAAAAGGCAAAGGGAAAGGCAGAAGATGAAAGGCTATACTCTCCACGCATGCCATACAATCTCTCAATTAAACGGCTCAATAAAAAAATGTATATAGGACTTATCTCACCCTGGTTATAACATATGTAATAATAGCATACAAATTACCTCCTTATGTCTCCCTTTGAACACCACGGCAAAGGCACCATGTCCAATCAGGTCTTTCCTGTTGAACTCGAATTTCCCAATAGTCTCCATACTGTTCAATAATAATAACAACAGGTGCTATATATCCAGGTGGAATCACGATGTTGAGGTTACCACTGGAACAATTTGGAAGTCGACACCGTTCAACTCCAGACAGCAAGAGATGTGTCTAAATCCTTCAAGTTCCATAGGCTGTCTCTCCCCGATGAAAAACCCTAACACTTCTTGAATCATGACGGTTTGTCACCATTATGACTTTATTTAAAAAGCTACAAAATGACAAATCTCCTATAGAACAGACTGAAAACTGTTTACAAAAGGAGAAGAGTCAATTACCCCTCGTTCGTTGGACATAAGCTCCAAAGTAGTCTATATGAATTCTCAAAACGTAAGTTGTCTTTAAGCAGACAAATAAGTCACCTTTATCCAGACACTGTTGGCTATACTGGTTACATTTGTTGCGAGTCTTTAGCTATCACGAACAAATGATCCCACTGTAGTTATTCATATCCCTGGGTGTGAGCATGAGCATGCGCAATAGGAGTTGTAGCTGTATTTCACCTATTTAGAAACACGAGTGTCACCGGCGCGCAATAATAACTTGTCAAGTCATCATGGCCACAGTTTGCTCAACCAAACACAACGCAATATCAGAGCACTATTTTGATGTCATTTTCACGCCTGAAACAATGCCTTCGCTACCACTTCCTTTTCTTTATTTTAGCATTGCCACTTCTTAGGCCTACTGCAGTTTCAATACTTCCAATAGATAGCGCAGGTGAGACTGTATTATTTTTTATTCATTTTGACATACAGTAGGAGGCTACTGGGGAATGTTGATTAGAGGAATTACATACAATAACTTTTCATGTTTGTCAATTTTTTTAACAAACTTCAACATTGAAAGTACCCTAGAAAACAAACAAAAGACAGGCCATAAGATGATGGTCTGTTCTGAAATACTGAAAAAAGACTAGTCATAGGAAGTGTTTTTAAATGATTTCATTCAGTAAATCCTATTGTAGGAGACTAAGTGTTGGTACAGTGTCAGAACCATCAACATTTCTTCAGACATTTCTCTCCAATCTCACAGTGAAACTCAACAAAATACAATTTGCTGGACTCAATTCAAAGTCCCACTCTTGTGTTTGTGAAATACATGAATATGCTAGCCTATAACTATGTATCCTCTACTCAAAGATAAAGCATAAAAAATCTAAAGATCTACATATTTTAAAAAGTTAAATGGAACACTGATTTAAAAAAATCACAGAATTGTGTCTAACACAATTAATAATTATCTCTAAAAAAAGAAAAGCATGAAATACTGCAGCTTACAGAGACATGAGGTACATTATGAAATACCATTGTCAACTCATCTTCATTGTAAGAAGAAACAACACACAAAGAAAACATCAAAAGAGACAGGTATCAAACATTGTGAGCATTTCGAGTGACTTTGCTCTGGTGCTTTGCAAACATATTAAGAGTCACAAAATCCATAAATAAATACATTAAACTGTGGGGGTTTTTCATTTGATTACACTTTTTACATTAGTTAAAGTATTCTTCCTTGTATCAACTATCCCTACGCCAAGGCACATGTTTATTTGGGGCTAGATTCAATGTTCTGCACTTTCTGGAAATTAAATATTTCAAACAGAAAATAATTGTAATGTATTATTTTCATTGGTTCAACACATAATGCTTAGTGTGCCATCCAGCCAGGACCCTGTGATAATAATGTATTAGAATAACCATCCTGAACCAGAACAAACCAATTACAAGGCTGCTATTAGCCTCTTTGTCATAACCATAATACATACTGAAAGTAACTATAACACTCAAAAAAGTAAAAGCTTGTTTACATATCACAAAATATACCAATGCAAAACATTGGATAGCCTCTGGTCAAATTGATCATTATTCATGAAAAATACTTGGATATAAATATTTCAAGACATTATACACAATATGGTGGACAAAAACATTCTGAAACAGTTAATGGCATGCTTTAAATCATCAAGGTTAAGAACCATTACAATCTTACTCAGTTCCCTAACCATGGGTCCCCTCAGAATTCCCATCCCTAAATGGGTTTGGCCAGCTGTCTTTTATAAGAGAAGTCGAAAGGCACAGTCCTTTGAGTCTGTTTGTCTTCAGGGGGAGATTATGTCCCATTTGGGGTTACAGCTTTACATCAAATCAGTGTATAGTGGAGGAGTGGGAGGCTGTGGGCTATGGAAGCTAAGCTCCGAGATGCCTGTAAGAATGGTTACTCACTGTCATTGTGTATAGAGGTCTGAATGAAGACGCATGACATCCTGACTATGCAGCTGAAGCACAGCACACCCCCTTATCTACGGCTTTTCCTTTTGAGTCATACATCACATATAACAGTGGACAACAACACAATGCTTTAGCCAGTGTCTGTCAATGAATCTAGTCAACCCCTGGTAGGCATGGCATCCTACTTCCGCCCTTACTCGAAGTGATGCCCTCCAGTTTTAGACAGCAGAGAGGTCGATCCGATTGGCTGAGTTGGTGCTTTTGTCCCATGTGTTCATCTTTGTGGGGCTCACGCCTCCCCTGTTTCCATTCATCTATAAGAGAAAAAGGAGAGCACACGCTTCATCTCACATTCAAAGTTATACGTTGAATTCACTTCTTTCTCCTTAGCCAATTAGACCCCTCTACCTTGGTACTCACAACGTCAGAATTGAAGGGTTTCACATTGATGTTGCGAATGGAGCTGCTGGTTAGAGACCACACCTTGGTTTTGTGCTTAAAGGCAGCTCTGACCTACCACAAAACAGCACAACCATGAGTACGACAAATAACAGATGCAATGTTTCATTATTCACCCCAGACATATTAGAAACAAAACACAAACTATATCAACACTATAACAACATGAGGGGTGTGCCTTACCTCAGAGTTGAGAAGACAATGGAACAGGAAGATAAAGAATCCCTTTAGAAAGAAAAATCCACATGATTGTAGTCAATTACTGTAAATAAAGGCTATTGATAAAGACACATTTTATTAAATGTATTAGATTGCATAATGGCACATTTACAGTATGCTACTTACCTGTAATGAGTTGAACACAGCAAACATGTACTGGAACATCAGTGCATGATCGTTGATGGCCAGTACCCCAAAGATCCAGGAGATGCCCAGAATAGGAAGGAGTACAGCCACTGCCTTTGCAGTCAGTCTATACACACAGAGAGACACATACACACTAAATGTCAGCTATCTATAAACTATGTACTGTAATAAGTAGTGTATTAATGTCAGTCTGACTGAGTCAGAGTTTGGATAGCATCATCACCATGATGGTTTTAGCCCTAAGAACAGAGATGATGACTCACTTGACTGCGTTGGCATCGCCATGAACCTTGTAATTCTCTGAACTAATACGAGAGATGATCCTCGTCACAGATATAAGAATCACAATATTCACCTGAGTCAGAGAGAAAACAACACATATCAGTTAATGTCTATATATCACTTTTATGAACAAAAAGCTTGAGCTCCAGTGATTAATTAGCTGTAAATTGTAAAGTGACAAGAACGGAAATATGATTTCTTCAGTTCTCTTACCACAATGACAAACAGTGCTGGTGCCACAAACGCCCAAATAGCCCCGTTCTTCAAGGACAGCCAGCAGCTGAGGGAGGGAGGAGAGAGAGAACAAGATTAGTCGACATCCCTCACATTATACTTCCCATCTCTGTTTACTCTGTTGGTGTAAACTACTTATACATAAATATGCCTAGATAAATATCTCTAAATTCATAGCAGTTTCATGGCACCAGTATTGATAATTTAACTTTATCCAATGGCACAGAGTGCTGCCAAGTGGTTTTGAATGTCCAGGTTGGAGTCTGTTGACTCAGTGACTTACTTCCCAACCTCTCCATAGCTGTCCAAGGCTGATGTCATAGAAACCACACATATCACCAGTGGAGACCCTGGGAGAAGAGAGGACATGTTAGTTACCAGATAAAAATATATCACACACATCATGACATCTCTAACATTACATTGTTCAGTATATGCTTCCTTATACAGTATTGACTTCATGTCACGCCCTGGCTCTGGGGACTCTAATATGTTGAGCCAGGGTGTGTAAAGTATATGTGTTTTGTTCTAGGTTTCACATTCTAGTATTGTTTGTCTATGTTGGCCAGTGTGGTTCTCAATCAGAGGCAACGTGATTCAGCTGTTGCTTGTTGTCTCTGATTGAGAACCATACTTTAGCAGCCTGTTTCCCCACAGAGTTTGTGGGATCTTGTTTCTAGTCTGTTGTGTTAGACCGTGAACTGTCACGTTTTCGTTTTGATCGTGTCTCTATTAAAGAGTATGTTTGCCTGCAACGCTGCGCCTTGGTCCTCATCTCTGTTCGACGATCGTGACAGAAGATCCCACCAGAACTGGACCAAGCAGCCTAGTGAGGTGCAGAGAGGGTGGACTTGGGAACAGTGGAGGAAGAGCTTCGACTGGGTCAAGCCGAATGAGGAGCTGAATGGCGGGAATTGGAAGCAGAAGAGCGAGAGTTGGGCGAGAACCATAGAGGCCTGGCCCACGGGGAAGAGAGACTCCCAGAAATTTTTTTAGGGGGGGGCTCACGACGTCGGGGCAGCAGGAGGCCGCGATAGAGCGGCCCAGCGGGTTGGCAGAGGAGGCCGCCAGGTTACGGGGGCCACTGGTCGAAGAGGGGATGGAAGGTGTAGAGGCACGGCGAGAGGTACTGGGGTGTGTTGCCAGTCCGGTCCGGCCTGTTCCTGATCCCCACGTAGGGCCAGTGGTGTGTGTTCCCAGTACGGTCCGGCCTGTTCCTGCAACTCGCACCAAGTCTACGGTGCGCGTCGCCAGCTTGGCCCGGCCTGTTCCTGCTCCCCGCACCAAGCCTGTGGTGCGCTTCGTCAGCCCGGTCCGGCCCGCTCCTGCTCCCCGCACCAAGTCAGTGGTGCGCTTCGTCAGCCCGGTCCGGCCCGCTCCTGCTCCCCGCACCAAGTCAGTGGTGCGTTTCGTCAGCCCGGCTCGGCCCGTTCCTGCTCCCCGCACCAAGTCAGTGGTGCGTTTCGTCAGCCCGGTCCGGCCCGCTCCTGCTCCCCGCACCAAGTCAGTGGTGCGTTTCGTCAGCCCGGCTCGGCCCGCTCCTGCTCCCCGCACCAAGTCAGTGGTGCGTTTCGTCAGCCCGGCTCGGCCCGTTCCTGCTCCCCGCACCAAGTCAGTGGTGCGCTTCGTCAGCCCGGTCCGGCCCGCTCCTGCTCCCCGCACCAAGTCAGTGGTGCGTTTCGTCAGGCCGGCTCGGCCCGCTCCTGCTCCCCACACCAAGCCAGTGGTGTGCGTCGTCAGTCCGGCATGGCCCGTGCCTGTTCCACTGGTGGCTGGTCCGGCACCGGTCAGATGCTTCACGCCGGAGCTAGAGCAATCCGCTCCACCAGTGTGCAGTCCAGCTCCGGCCAGCGGGGCCAGACCGGACCAGGGGTACTTTGGGGGGTTGGAGAGGGAGCGGGGATCAGGCCCGGAGCCGGATCCGCCGCCTAAGCGGAGTGCCCACCCGGTCCCTCCCCTGTGGTATTTGGTGGGCGCGGTCGGAGTCCGCGCCTTTAGGGGGGGGTACTGTCACGCCCTGGCTCTGGGGACTCTAATATGTTGAGCCAGGGTGTGTAAAGTATATGTGTTTTGTTCTAGGTTTCACATTCTAGTAGTGTTTGTCTATGTTGGCCAGTGTGGTTCTCAATCAGAGGCAACGTGATTCAGCTGTTGCTTGTTGTCTCTGATTGAGAACCATACTTTAGCAGCCTGTTTCCCCACAGAGTTTGTGGGATCTTTTTCTAGTCTGTTGTGTTAGACCGTGAACTGTCACGTTTTCGTTTTGTTGGTTTTGATCGTGTCTCTATTAAAGAGTATGTTTGCCTCTAACGCTGCGCCTTGGTCCTCATCTCTGTTCGACGATCGTGACACTTCAGTCTAATGTTTTCCAAATCAGGTTTGGCAAGGAGTATGAGATGAAAGTTAGCGAGACCGACAGTAGAGGACACCGGATGTTTTTTTTATGAGAGATTTCTGAGGTATTTTTTCATTGTTAATTTCCACCAACATGGTTCAAGTCTTGGTCATGTTTTCATCTGTTTTAATAAGTTGCTAAGTCCACAGAGATTTACAGACTTCCCCAGCACAGAACAATTAAACTGTTACGGTAAAAGAGGAAATTAAGAATAAAGGGTCAGAAGCCTGTTTTCACTGCTAATAACAGGAGCTGTAAATTACTTAGATGTCCTAACAGCTATAATTCCAGCAGCAGGACACATCTGCACTACTTAATTTGCTGTTGGCCACAAATCGCAGCATTACTTCGGCCAACAACATAGGAAATGATACAAATTGGATCTTATTTCTAATAATCACTCCAGCATGTGGAGTAGGCCCAGTGTTCCCAGACAGCTAAAAGAAACGCACGCCACACGCACACACGCACACACACACACACACACACACACACACACAAACACACACGCACCCACATTCTCCTGTCTGTCTGTCCACTCTGGCCAACAGAGACCTGGGAAGTCTGAAGGCCAAACTAGAGGTCTGCTAAAACCAGACCTAAAAGGTCAACATTTTAATTGTGGGAAACGTTGTTCATGATCAGTCTTTTGAAGCGCAGCATATTGTTGCATGTAGCTGCAGGTGTACGTGGAAAACAGATTGATCCAGTTTGAGAGGAATAAAAGCACGTGGATCATTAAGACATTTGTGCCTAAAAAGGACCATTAAAACAGTTACAAGACGTACCCCAGCCAATCCCATAGTAGTAGAAATGCTTGCTGCCCTCGGAGCCGAAAACCTTGATGACCATGCTGTAGAGGTGCAGGCCCTCCACCAGCATCCAGGCAAATGCACTCAGGAAGAAGAAGTGGAGCAGCACAGCCATCACCTTACAGAGCAGCTGGGAGGAGAGAGGTTAAAACTAGGGCACAGGGTGCATCATTATCTATGTCGGCACGCTCTGCCTCCTCTTCTTCATCATCACCATACAGTAAGTGCAAATCACTTCCTGGTTCTAGCCAATGTGATACTCTGACTTCGGTTATGAGGTGCTTACCGTGCCTGGGTCAAAGCGGAAGCTGATGAGCAGCAGGATCTGGGCCACCAGGATCGCAAAGGACAGGTTGGCATGGATGTGGTAGCGTTGGTTACGGATAGTGCTCACTGACCTGCAAGGCCAGACACAAATAAAAACATTGAATACTACAAGAAATGTATAAAATACATTTTATATAACATTTAATCATAATGGGGCGAATACCACTCATAAAGAGCATGTGTGGCACACAGCACATGTGAGGTGCTTTGATACGTTTATTTTGATTGAGTCAGTGAACAATAAAGATGGAGGGATACTCACGACAAGATTGCAAATGTCACCAGTGTGATGGTCAGACAGAAGATAGAAATGGAGCAGCCAATGTAACTGATGGTTGATAGCACCACCTGGTGGGCCTTGATTAGCTGTGCAAAGGTGAGAATCATCACAATTCAGTAAAACATTCCAGACACAAGTTTGATGTTTAGATTCATGTTAGGGCTGATTCATTTCAAAAGGATACAGACTAGAAGATATTGCATTGAACACATTACTAGAGAAAGAATGTAAAGCTGAACTGAGAAGAGCATTAAACCAAAGTAGTGATTCTCTAGTAGGGACACAGTGTTTGAACTGAGCTGAGCTTCACTATGAACCAACACTGCCCTCTGTGGGATGTTTATGGTAAGTAGCCAAGTTTGTGGTCATACACACATCCTTAAAAACGTAGGTGCTGGGCTAATTAAGAAACGGAGGGGGCGAGGTGAAGGTAGCCAGAAGCGGACGGTTGTTTTGCGACAATGTTTCAATGAAAATACATGCTTGTTTAGGTTAACATCTTCTGACTTTCTGGCGGAAGGATGCACTGTTGAGCGCTACATCCCGAGGTGTTTGTGCTGATTGTACGGAGATGGTGACAGCCGATTAAATGGCGTCCCTATACAAGGCAAGAATTAGATGTATGTCAGGAGAAGTGCAGTACTATCATAAGGAGAGTTATACATGGAATACGGAGGAGGAATGGAGGGGAAAAGAGAGGCAGAGGAGGTCTAAGAGAGAGAGGGAGGAAGAGGGTGAGCTTGAGTCAGTTAAAAATGGTGGAAAAAAGGGAGATGGTTTGTTAAAGAAGAATGATAGAAAGTGTAAGCAGAGTGAGTTGAAGACAGGAGGAGAAATGGAAGTGAATGAGGGCGAAGTATCGGAGGTGGTAGGTGTGGTGAAGTTCTCTGAGCCCGAGGCTTGCACCGAGGGTCAGGATAAAGATGAGTCTGTGACAGTAGGAGTGAAGTTTTTGGAAAAAGTGGACCCTTGCCTTTTGGCTGATCCATTTGTGGTTTCAGGGTGGGTGAAAACAGAGTTGGGTGCTGTGGAATCGGTGAGGGTAACCCGAAGTGGTCTTGTGATAATTTTTTCTGTTTCTGCTGATCAGAGGGAGCAGGCGCTCCATGTTAAACGAATGGAGGCAAGAGATGTGAATTATTTTGCTCTCAAGAAAAGGGTGCCATTGAAAGGAGTAATTAGTGGGGAATCGGTAAATGTGAAAGCTGACCAACTGAAGGGGAAGAGTCCTGGTGTTTGTGATGCTCGTCATTTGGTGCGACGCAGACAGGGTGGTGTGAGTGGAGAAACAGAGTCATTGTCTGTTCTTTTGAGTTTTGATGTTGAGTCTTTGCCCGACAAAGTGATGTTAGGATATAAGTTATCCTGTACGAGCTTTTGTGCTGAATACATTACGTTGTTAAAGGTGTCAAGCTTATGGGCATGTGGCAGCAGTGTGTAGGAGGGAGGTTCCTAGGTGTGAGAAGTGTGCAGAAGGGCATGAGACAACGGAATGTGTAGCAAAGTAGTGGTATGTGTTAATTGTAGGGGTGCCCATAGGGCTGGGGATCAGAAATGTCCCATGCGAGAGAGGCAGGTTGAGGTTTCCAGGGTTAGAGTAGTGCAGAAGTTGTTATATGCTGACGCAGTGAAGAAAGTAGAGGAAGATGGTTCAAGGGGGAGGGATCCTGAGAGGAGTGGTGTGAGTAGTAGATCTGTACCAGAACAGAGGGATAAACCAACAAGTGATATATGTTTCAGTAAGATTGGGTTTTTGGCATTTATAGCAATGGTTATCAACTGTACTGCAGGGATGGAATGTAAGTCGCAGAAAATTGAGGTTGTGGTGGCAGCTGCAGAGAGGTATTTGGGTGTGCGTGACTTGACATCAGAAGAATTACAGGGTTTGTTAAGTGGCGGTGTCCCATCCTTTTAGGCTGTTGGGCTGAAGTAGGACTAAATATATTTAAATAGTTAAGTATGGTATTTATTATTATTTGTTATGTTTTGTGAGTGTAGTGTTAGATGGTAGGGTATTATTATTATTATTATTATTTGTAATTGTATTTGTTATTATTATAATTTTTAAAGCAAAGTATAAGGGAGTTATACTCCAGTCTAGTAGGTGGCGGTAATGCAACATTTATTGGATGCCAACCGCCTTTAAACCTCATCGAAGAAGAAGTAATAAATAATACTTGTGAAGAACAGGAAAGCCTGCACACTGTTTATGCTCCCAATTCATCCCTTTATTGACAAAGTTTAGATCCGAAATGGATCTTTTTCAGGTCAAAAAGACGGAGCGCTGTTATACACATTTCACCTCACATGACCATTACGCACATGATGCATGGTGTGGAAACAATTCAATTAACATTTGCGCATAGTCAATCATAATTAATCACAGTGGTACATATGGTCATACAGGAATATATACATACAAATCGGTCCGAGTTATAACCTAGGCAAAGGTAATAAAGATTACGTTGGAAAGTTTTGGAATACCATATGACCATTACGCGCAGGATGCCCGGTGGCTATAGATATACAGTTGAAGTCGGAAGTTTACATACACCTTAGCCAAATACATTTAAACTCAGTTTTTCCACAATTCCTGACATTTAATCCTAGTTAAAATTCCCTGTCTTAGGTCAGTTAGGATCACCACTTTATTTTAAGAATGTGAAATGTCAGAATAATAGTAGAGAGAATTATTTATTTCAGCTTTTATTTCTTTCATCACATTCCCAGTGGGTCAGAAGTTTACATACACTCAATTAGTATTTGGTAGCATTGCCTTTAAATTGTTTAACTTGGGTCAAACGTTTCAGGTAGCCTTCCACAAGCTTCCCACAATAAGTTGGGTGAATTTTGGCCCATTCCTCCTGACAGAGCAGGTGTAACTGAATCAGGTTTGTAGGCCTCCTTGCTCGCACACGCTTTTCAGTTCTGCCCACACATTTTCTATAGGATTGAGGTCAGGGCTTTGTGATGGCCACTCCAATACCTTGACTTTGTTGTCCTTAAGCCATTTTGCCACAACTTTGGAAGTATGCTTGGGGTCATTGTCCATTTGGAAGACCCATTTGCGACCAAGCTTTAACTTCCTGACTGATGTCTTGAGATGTTACTTCAATATATCCACATAATTTTCCTCCTCATGATGCCATCTATTTTGTGAAGTGCACCAGTCCCTCCTGCAGCAAAGCACCCCCACAGCATGATGCTGCCACCCCCGTGCTTCACGCTTGGGATGGTGTTCTTCGGCTTGCAAGTTCCCCCCCATTTTTCCTCCAAGCATAATGATGGTCATTATGGCCAAACAGTTCTATTTTTGTTTCATCAGATGGGAGGACATTTCTCCAAAAAGTACGATGTTAGTCCCCATGTGCAGTTGCAAACCGTAGTCTGGCTTTTTTATGACGGTTTTGGAGCAGTGGCTTCTTCCTTGCTGAGCGGCCTTTCAGGTTATGTCGATATAGGACTCGTTTTACTGTGGATATAGATACTTTTGTACCTGTTTCCTCCAGCATCTTCACAAGGTCCTTTGCTGTTGTTCTCGCACCAAGCCAGTGGTGCGCGTCGCCAGCCCGGCCCGGCCTGTTCCTGCGCCTCGCAACAAGACAGTGGTGCGCGTCGCCAGCCCGGCCTGTTCCTGCTCCCTGCACCAAGCCAGTGGTGCGCGTCGCCAGCCCGGCCCGGCCTGTACCTGCTCCTCGCACCAAACCAGTGGTGCGCGTCGCCAGTCCGGCACGGCCCGTGCCCGTTCCACCGGTACCTGGTCCGGCACCGGTCAGCTGCTCCACTCCGGAGCCAGAGCAGTCTGCTCCACCGGTGCCTGATCCAGTTCCGGTCAGCTGTTCCACTCCGGTGCCAGAGCAGTCCGCTCCGCCGGTGCCTGATCCAGCTCCGGTCAGCTGCTCCACTCCAGAGCCAGAGCAGTCCGCTCCACCGGTGCCTGAACCAGCTCCGGTCAGCTGCGCCACTCCGGAGCCAGAGCAGTCCGCTCCGCCGGTGCCTGATCCAGCTCCGGTCAGCTGCTCCACTCCAGAGCCAGAGCAGTCCGCTCCACCGGTGCCTGATCCAGCTCCCGTCGGCTGCGCCAATCCGGAGCCAGAGCAGTCCGCTCCACCGGGGTCAAGTCCAGCTCCGGCCAATGGCTCCACTTCGGAGCCAGAGCAGTCCGCTCCACCGGTGCCTGATCCAGCTCCAGTCAGCGGCTCCTCTCCGGAGCCAGAGCAGTCCGCTCCACCGGTGCCTAGTCCAGCTCCGGTCAGCGGCTCCAGTCCAGACCATGACGTCAGCCCCTCTCCAGGTTCGGGGTCTCCCACACCAGGGTCCAGACAGGGCCTGGCGTATCGTGGGAGGAAGGAGAGGGGAAGCAACGCGCCGAGGTCTAGACCAGACCAGGGGCGCAACAGGGAGGCGAAGAGTGAGAGGTCGTCACGCCCTGAGCCGGATCCGCCTCCGAGGCGGAATGCCCACCCGGCCCCTACCCTGTTATGTTTATGTTGTGCGGTCGGAGTCCGCACCTTTGGGGGGGGGGGTACTGTCACGCCCTGACTCAGGGGACGCTTATATGTTGAGTCAGGGTGTGTATATTCCTTGTTGTGCTTGTTCTATGTTATAGGATCTAGTAGGTCTAGATCTATGTTGGCCGGTGTGGACAATACTTAGGCAGCCTATTGGCACTAGTAGGTTGTTGGATCTTGTTCCGTGTGAGGTTTGTTGTGTGTTACCTTTGGACGTCACGTTTCGTTGGTTTATTGTTTTGTCGTTGTTTATTACGTTTAAAATAAACATGTATGCATATCACGCTGCGCCTTGGTCTGACCCGTCTATGAACGAACGTGACAAATAATTTGATATTAATGAGATGGGCGCATGTTGTAGTTACAGAAAATCTAATACATACAAATGTACAAAATGACTAAGTGGAGACCTGGATGACAAGACAAATCAACGTAACATATTCGTGTAATAAATGGTCTGATATCAAACTCTTGGTTCAGAACTTCAGGAGACATGGTGGACAAACGGTGAATCCAATACAATTCTCTTCTCAGTAGTAGATTATCAGTATCTCCCCCCTCCTAGGAGCCTTAACATGTTCGATACCAATGTATCTCAGAGAGCTGATTTTGTGACAAGCCTCCATGAAATGCGCAGCCACAGGTTTTGTTTTTTATCACCAGTCCTGATATTACTCCTGTGTTCTGCTATCCTTGTTTTCAGAGCTCATTTCATTTTTCCTACATAGCATAGACCACAAATACACTTGATCAGGTATACAATTCTTTTTGTAAAGTTACACTGGGTACATCAGCCACATCTATATTTGCTGTCCAGCACATTGTCTAGGAAGGTGCTACGTGGCACGGGTGGAAGATCAGACCTCACCACCATTTGACTGATGTTGGGGGCGCGTCTGAAGACTACCCGCGGAGTATTTTCCAGTTGTGGGTCAGTGCTCAAGATGTGACAGTGTTTTTTTAATGATATGGTCATACTGTTTGCCAAGTGGGGAGTATTGAAGGAAGCATTTGACTAGTTGGTAAGGGAGGCGGGGTGGTTTGGGAGTGAGGCTGTCATCCTGGGTCATAGTAACGGTCCTGTGCGTCATGCAGCCATTCCTCTGTCTGAAGCGCTCATCCAGACGTGCGTTTGTTTGTCATAGTCACTCTGTGTACTACAGATCCTGCGTTTGCGACTGTATTGGCTGATAGGGAGGCTCTTTTTCAGTGGTGTAGGGTGGAAGCTATCTCCGCGAAACAGGGACTTCCTGTCTGTCGGAATCCTGTATAGGTCCATGGTAAAATCACCCCCCTAAAACCCAGTGTGGTGTCACCCCCTGCATATGTACGCAATTCCATGATTAACACCCTTAAGGCAATGGACAATATTGATGGGGGGATGCTTATGGCTTGCTTTGATGTTGAAACCATGTATACAAACAGGGGGGCGATACTGATAATCTATTACTGAGAAGAGATTTGTATTGGATTCACCGTTTGTCAACCATGTCTCCTAATGGTCTGAATACGTTACGTTGATTTGTCTTGCCTACCAGGTTTCCACTTGGTCATTTTGTACATACAGTGAGGGAAAAAAGTATTTGATCCCCTGCTGATTTTGTACATTTGCCCACTGACAAAGAAATTATAAGTCTATAATTTTAATGGTAGGTTTATTTGAACCGTGAGAGACAGAATAACAACAAAAAAAACCAGAAAAACCCATGTCAAAAATGTTATACATTGATTTGCATTTTAATGAGGGAAATAAGTATTTGACCCCCTCTCAATCAGAAAGATTTCTGGCTCCCAGGTGTCTCAGAGGAGAACTGGGTGAAAGTGTTGTGGTCAGATGAGAACAAAATCGAGCTCTTTGGCATCAACTCAACTTGCCGTGTTAGGAGGAGGAGGAATGCTGCCTATGACCCCAAGAACACTATCCCCACCGTCAAACATGGAGGTGGAAACATTATGCTTTGGGGGTGTTTTTCTGCTAAGGGGACAGGACAACTTCACCGCATCAAAGGGACGATGGACGGGGCCATGTACCGTCAAATCTTGGGTGAGAACCTCCTTCCCTCAGCCAGGGAACAAAATCCCTCCTGAGATGTGTGCAAACCTGGTGGCCAACTACAAAAAACGTCTGACCTCTGTGATTGCCAACAAGGGTTTTGCCACCAAGTACAAAGTCATGTTTTGGAGAGGGGTCAAATACTTATTTCCCTCATTAAAATGCAAATCAATTTATAACATTTTTGTGTTTTTCTGGATTTTTTTGTTGTTATTCTGTCTCTCACTGTTCAAATAAACCTACCATTAAAATTATAGACTGATCATGTCTTTGTCAGTGGGCAAACGTACAAAATCAGCAGGGGATCAAATACTTTTTTCCCTCACTGTATGTCTATATTTGAGTTTCTGTAACTACTACATGTTCCCATCTCAATGATATGAAATTATTAGAGGTACACAAATTGTTTTCGAAATAGGTCACTAATTATACTGAAGAAAATATAAATGCAACATGCAACAATTTCAAAGATTTTACATAGTTACTTTTCATATAAGGAAATCAGTCAATTGAAATAAATTCATTAATCTATGGATTTCACATAACTGGGCAGTGGCATAGCCATGGGTGGGACTGGGTGGGCCAGGCACACCCACTGGGGAGCCATGCCCAGCCAATCAGAATGAGGTTTCCCCACAAAAGGGCTTTATTACAGACAGAAATACTCCTCAGCATCCCCCCTCCTCAGACGAGCTGCAGGTGACGAAGCCAGATGTGGAGGTCCTGGGCTGGCATGGTTACATGTGGTCTGCGGTTGTGAGGCCAGTTGGATGTACTGCCAAATTCTCGAAAATGACGTTGGAGGCGGCTTATGGTAGAGAAATAAACATGAAATTCTCTGGCAACAGTTCTGTTGGACATTGCTGCAGTCAGCATGCCAATTGCACACTCCCTCAAAACTTGAGACATCTGTGGCATTGTGTCTTGTGACCAAACTTCACATTTTAGAGTGGTCTTTCATTGTCCCCAGCACAAAGTGCACCTGTGTAATGATCATGCTGTTTAATCAGCTACTTTATATGCCACACATGTCAGGTGGGTGGATTATCTTGGCAAAGGAGAAATGCTCACTAACAGGGATGTAAACAAATGTGTGGACAAAATGAGAGAAATAAGCTTTTTTTTGCGTATGGAACATTTCTGGGATCTTTTATTTCAGCTCAGGAAACATGGGACCAAATACTTTACATATTGTGTTCATATTTTTGTTCAGTATACACTACCAGTCAAAAGTTTGGACACACCTACTCATTCAAGGGTATTTCTTTATTTTTACTATTTTTTACATTGTAGAATAATAGTGAAGACATCAAAACTATGAACTAACACATATGGAATCATGTAGTAACCAAAAAAGTGTTAAACAAATCAAAATATATTTTATATTTGAGATTCTTCAAATAGCCACCCTTTGCCTTGATGACAGCTTTGCACACTCTTGGAATGCTCTCAACCAGCTTCATGAGGTAGTCACCTGGAATGCATTTTAATTAACAGCTGTGCCTTCTTAAAAGTTCATTTGTGGAATTTCTTTCCCTCTTAATACATTTGAGCCAATCAGTTGTGTTGTGACAAGGTAGGGGGGTATACAGAAGATAGCCCTATTTGGTAAAAGACCAAGTCCATATTATGGCAAGAACAGCTCAAATAAGCAAAGAGAAAAGACAGTCTATCATTACTTTAAGACATGAAGGTCAGTCAATACGGAACATTTCAAGAACTTTAAAAGTTTCTTCAAGTGCAGTCAAAAAAACCATCAAGCGCTATGATGAAACTGGCTCTCATGAGGACCGCCACAGGAATGGAAGACCCAGAGTTACCTCTGCTGCAGAGGATAAGTTCATTAGAGTTACCAGCCTCAGAAATTGCAGCCCAAATAAATGCTTCACAGAGTTTAAGTCACAGACACACCTCAACATCAACTGTTCAGAGGGGACTGTGTGAATCAGGCCTTCATGGTCGAATTGCTGCACGGAAACCACTACTAAAGGACACCAATAATAAGAAGAGACCTGCTTGGGCCAAGAAACATGAGCAATGGACATTAGACCGGTGGAAATGTGTACTTTGGTCTGGAGTCCAAATTTGAGATTTTTGGTTCCAACCGGCGTGTCTTTGTGAGACGCGGTGTGGGTGAACGGATGATCTCCGCATGTGTAGTTCCCACCGTAAAGCATGGAGGAGGAGGTGTTATGGTGTGGGGGTGTTTTGCTGGTGGCACTGGCTGTGATTGATTTACAATTCAAGGCACACTTAACCAGCATGGTTACCACAGCATTCTGCAGCGATACGCCATCCCATCTGGTTTGGGCATAGTGGGACTATCATTTGTTTTTCAAAAGGACAATGACCCAACACACCTCCAGGCTGTGTAAGGGCTATTTTACCAAAAAGGAGAGTGATGGCGTGCTGCATCAGATGACCTGGCCTCCACCATCCCCCGACCTCAACCCAATTGAGATGGTTTGGGATAAGTCGGACGGCAGAGTGAAGGAAAAGCAGCCAACAAGTGCTCAGCATATGTGGGAACTCCTTCAAGACTGTTGGAAAAGAATTCCAGGTGAAGCTGGTTGAGAGAATGCCAAGAGTTTGCAAAGCTGTCATCAAGGCAAAGGGTGGCTTTTTGAAGAATCTCAAATATAAAATATATATTTGTATTTGTTTAACACTTTTCTGGTTACTACATGATTCCATATGTGTTATTTCATAATTTTGATGTCTTCACTATTATTCTACAATGTAGAAAATAGTAAAAATAAAGAAAAACCTTGAATGAGTAGGTGTGTCCAAACTTTTGACTGGTACTGTATATCTAAGGCCACTGCGCGTCCTGGGTGTAATGGTCATATGGGTGGGTATTCCAACAGTTTCCAACGTAATCTTTTTTACTGTTGCCTAGTTTTTAACCAATTTAACAGATTTGTATGTACAGTATACAATCCTTTATGACCATACAGTGGGGAGAAAAAGTATTTAGTCAGCCACCAATTGTGCAAGTTCTCCCACTTAAAAAGATGAGAGAGGCCTGTAATTTTCATCATAGGTACACGTCAACTATGACAGACAAAATGAAAGAAAAAAAATCCAGAAAATCACATTGTAGGATTTTTAATGAATTTATTTGCAAATTATGGTGGAAAATAAGTATTTGGTCAATAACAAAAATGTTCTCAATACTTTGTTATATACCCTTTGTTGGCAATGACACAGGTCAAACGTTTTCTGTAAGTCTTCACAAGGTTTTCACACACTGTTGCTGGTATTTTGGCCCATTCCTCCATGCAGATCTCCTCTAGAGCAGTGATGTTTTGGGGTTGTCGCTGGGCAACATAGACTTTCAACTCCCTCCAAAGATTTTCTATGGGGTTGAGATCTGGAGACTGGCTAGGCCACTCCAGGACCTTGAAATGCTTCTTACGAAGCCACTCCTTCGTTGCCCGGGCGGTGTGTTTGGGATCATTGTCATGCTGAAAGACCCAGCCACGTTTCATCTTAAATTCCCTTGCTGATGGAAGGAGGTTTTCACTCAAAATCTCACGATACATGGCCCCATTCATTCTTTCCTTTACACGGATCAGTCGTCCTGGTCCCTTTGCAGAAAAACAGCCCCAAAGCATGATGTTTCCACCCCCATGCTACACAGTAGGTATGGTGTTCTTTGGATGCAACTCAGCATTCTTTGTCCTCCAAACACGACGAGTTGAGTTTTTACCAATAAGTTCTATTTTGGTTTTATCTGCCCATATGACATTCTCCCAATCCTCTTCTGGATCATCCAAATGCACTCTAGCAAACTTCAGACGAGCCTGGACATGTACTGGCTTAAGCAGGGGGACACGTCTGGCACTGCAGGATTTGAGTCCCTGGCGGCGTAGTGTGTTACTGATGGTAGGCTTTGTTACTTTGGTCCCAGCTCTCTGCAGGTCATTCACTAGGTCCCCCCGTGTGGTTCTGGGATTTTTGCTCACCGTTCTTGTGATCATTTTGACCCCACGGGGTGAGATCTTGCGTGGAGCCCCAGATCGAGGGAGATTATCAGTGGTGTTGTATGTCTTCCATTTCCTAATAATTGCTCCCACAGTTGATTTCTTCAAACCAAGCTGCTTACCTATTGCAGATTCAGTCTTCCCAGCCTGGTGCAGGTCTACAATTTTGTTTCTGGTGTCCTTTGACAGCTCTTTGGTCTTGGCCATAGTGGAGTTTGGAGTGTGACTGTTTGAGGTTGT